TGCTACCAATTATCAGTTCAGAAGTAATCTTATTGAACTGACTCCATTTGGGTGTAATCTTTCTGTAAATGCAGTTGTAAAAGGGTTAGCCAAGCTTTTACCATCACAGGAATAGTTAAACAACCAAAAACCCAAGATCATATGATTACTTACCTAAACTAGAGAAGCTGTCAATAGGACCGCTGTAATTCTAATAGAGAACTGTAAGTCAGACATTGTTTAGGTGAGCCTAATAGCCTGTTGTTATTATTAAACAGACCTGGACAAAAATGATGGTACCCCTAGAAAAGACTGAAAAAAATTTGACCAAAGGGAAATTTTTTCCCCTAGAAACTTTGCTCAAATGTTTAAAATTTCAGAAATAGCAGATCCTAAAGTTAGAAAAAAATCTAAGTTTTGCTGCTCGATGCAGCAAAACTTCAACCAACCACATCAACCAAACAGAGAAGCATATCTGTGAGCTGGCAGGGAGAAATTAACTTCAAATATCAGAACCTGTAAGCAAAATATGTTTGCGTTTATTATTCTGGTGCTTGCAGTTTGTACCAAATATCTGAAAAAACCTAACATCTACTTCCAGTCGCCACGACCAATATGGGAAAACCCACAAGAGGCAACCGGGCCTTAGGCAGCTGTTGCTGGATACCCAGTGACAGCACAGCTCCAGTATATTTGGGTCTGGGTGGTTCTGACTGCGAAGTAATATTTTGCGGCAGGATTGTAATCGTGATGAACTGCCTGCACAGACGATGTTTTGAGGTGGACTTCCTCTCTTAAAAATGTATTAAATCTACTTTTTTACCTACTTATCACAGCAAATATAGCAAAGCCGTTCTCTGCCATTTAACACAGCAGCAGCAGAATCATCAGACGCATCTGGACACACTTTACTGAGCGCTCATCAGGAGTTTCAAAGATGCTCCTGAGGTGCGTCTGACCTTTACGTGGAGAAGCATCATAAAAGCATATGCTCCTTCATTTTTGATGCTCAAAGCACGTGCGGTGTGATTGTTTGTTTAAATAACCTATTAAAAATAATTTTGTACCTAATAATGATCTCATGTGCATCCGTATGAAATTTCCACGTCTAACACACATACTTCCCAAAAAAGGACAAAAGTAGCGTTGTAAAAAAAGACAAAAATTTAGTTGCATTCCACCTTAAAATGCAAGAAGTAAAGTTTCAGAGAGACCAAATTTCTACATTTTTCAGGGGAGACTAGTGTGTTTTGATTCTCAATCTTGTTGTAGTGGAAGATGAAGACCATGGCACACCAAAACCTTTCAAATTAGGGATCTAAGGGTACAAATAGTTGTACCAAATATCTGCAGTACAGCCATGTTAGGCTGTACAGTTTAGGCATGTGACACCAAAACAAAACAGCCCAGGTAGTTCCTGTCTGTTAATAATGAAAATGCGATAGTGTTTCATAAACAATTTTAGTTCTGGCTGGGTTTCTGATGATGCCTTTAGGTTCCTGACTTTCAAACCTTTAACCCACAAAATAACAAGAAATGCTTCAATACTCATTAAGCATGATCGTGAATATTAAAACAAGCTGTAAGTCACATGAATGATGGAAACAATACTTTAGCAGTTTCCTTTTTAATTTCTATACTGGTTTATGAAACTAAATGTCTTTTTCGTCAACTGAAACGTTGGGGGGAAAGAAGATCTGCCTCAGAGTTTACAATTAATGCAGGCTCCACCTCACTAAATATTGTTAAACAGTCAATACATTTCAAAAAGATAGCACAACAGGAGTTTAACTTTTTGCATCTTTTTATTTCTTCACAAAAATATATCAATATTTTTTGCATATTTGAAAAAGAAATAAGGTTTTTAAAACATAGTGAAAGCTGTAGTAGTAAACGATGTGCAATATTTTCTAGTAATATGTATCGCCCTGTCTAATTATGAAAACATGTCTGACTTATTTTAGAGAACATGTCGCTTGGTAGTTTGAAAGCGGCCAGTACATTCCATTTATTTGTCCTCTTAATCTGTAATCATCCTGGTTGAGTAGTACAGCATCTGGTTAATGATACTGTTTTCTCTCAACCTGTAAGTTGAGGCATTTTTATGAATTGTCTTTAAGGGGGCGGGGCGGGGGTGTCTTTGTAGCTTGATGGAGCGTATTCAGCATCACATATATATATTGGGACATTGTCTCTTGGACTTGATGTCAGAGGGCAGGGCTCATCAGTCCCTACTAGGGCTCACAGTCTGTGTCCACAAATTTGACACTTGCAATATTCTGCTCGTCTGCGGTGGTCTCTAACTGTTCTGCAAAGGGACATTTGCCTAAAGTGAACCTTATTCAAAGCAGAACCCCCTGTCCTGGCCATTATGCACTCAGAGAAATAGCAATTGTTGATAAATGTTTGTTGACATTCCTCCAGGCCTAAGTTGTTGCCGTTCTGTGCTGCACTTCAATAACGAGTCACTGCCCTGAATTGTTCTAGCAGGTGGACAGGAAGCCTCTTCAGGAAAATGCATTCTGGGAGGGGTTTGATTTCCTTTCTTACAAATTTAGAAATTTGAATCCAAATGTATCTTAGTTATGGTGAATAACTTTTGAAATTCCAGTTTCTTGTTTATACCTGGAAAGTTTTTGTGCATGCAACTTTTTTTTTTTTTTTTTTTTGCTTGCTTGCTTGCTTTTTCCAGAGCGGAACATTTTTACCCCAACTTCCAGATCAATCAGGTCAAACTCTCACATTTTTAAATAGCACCTCAGAATAGGTCAGCAGCAGAAGCAGTGGAGTTCACTATGTAAATTTGTTGTTTTGATTCCCAAATTGGAGAACAAGATGACAAGCACCTATGATTGTGTTTAACAATGCAAATGTTGGCCTCTGCCTCCACTGTACCAGATCTAAATTGAGCTGATTCATATCCTCTTTTTGAAAAATAAGTTTTTTTTCTGTTTTTCACAGTTTAATTCAGAACTTTTAATTTCAGATTTCATCTGTTAGAATGCTGGATGCTAAAATTGTCTCACGTTGACTTGTTTCTAGGGACGAGAGCAGGAAGATGAGGAACCAGAGAGCAAAAAGCCGGCATTAGAGGAAACCCCTGAAGAAAAGCACAGGTCAGTTCTCATCACAGTCTGCAGAAATACTTAGAATTTGTTTGTTTGGGTGCACATTGCTGTTCAGTGTTTGCTTGGTCCTCAGTTTACACACAAACGGAACTGAAACTGATCTTGATGTGCACAGTCAGAGCATTTATCTGCTCTTTATCTCCTCACCAGTGTGTGTGTGTACGTGTGTGTGTGCAGGTTGTGAGAATGGGTGTTTACAATGGGTTGGACCGTCAGCCTGTTGCCATTAGCTGCTCAAATATTCCACAGCTCGCCCGACTTCTTGTTAGCAGTTGGTAGGAGGGAGCAGCCATCTTTCCTGTCCTACAGGACCTTTTTTTTTTCCATTGTTTATATTTAATGACTTTGCTTTAAAAGCACCTGAGGGAGTGGCGCTCCGTTTCCTCCAGTCCAACAGGACAGATCTCTCCCAGGATGAAAATAGCTTCAGGGCTCACAAACATCTTTAGAGTGTGGATGTAAAGAGTGTCAAATGCAGTCTGTGGTTTCTGATCTGTGTTTTGCAAACAGTGACACTGGTCTGCAGTATGCTGTGGGTGTAATGTACCCTGCAATGGGCATTAAAGTTTAATAAGAGATCAGGTTGCGAAAGCAGGCTGTTAAAAAATGTTTTTCTTCTACTCCCTTTAAGGTTTTTAAAGTGCTGTTTAAGCTCTTCTCTTCTAACATTTTGTTCCAAGTCTGATCCAAAAGATGCACAAAGTATGCCTTGCAGCTCTTCCTGTTTCATCATGTTAGGTGTGGCTCAGACTTCAGTTCTTTATTCCGACACATGGGCGAACAGATTCCAAGTTCCTCGGATTGACAAATAAGATTCAAATAACTTTGAAAGCCTTTGAGATATCCCTGTTTCATGCTCCTCCTTGATGTCTGGGGTGTATAAAGTAATTTCTGCTGCTCTTGAGTGTCTTCTAGCTAGATATCAGTAGGAATATTTGAACAGCCTTGCTGCCCCTCCTCCTCAGCAAGAGTTCTCTCTAAACATTTAGAGAGGGCCTATGCTCCGAATTTATCACAGTTTCACTTCGATGCAACGGTCTGCTTGTAATGGAAATGCATAAACACACCCCTCTGCGCTTGGAAGCATTAAACTTTGAGACGGCTAATAACAAAAAGTCTTCAAGGGCAGATTTGCACACCTACTGTGTTCTGCTAATGGAGGCAGTTGAAACTTTTTTTCTCAAGTTCTCTTTGTCCGTCTTTTTTTGGTGTGGGGGGGGGAGGCTTAATATGTGATGGAGGTGGTGGGTTTAAATATTAATGGACACAAGACGGGGATTCTTAACCATGTTGATGACCTGCTCCCCATCGTTACACTGAAAGAATCCAGTTTCTTTTTGTGCCTCATTAAAGATGCAAAGATTTTAGTTTTCTGGGATCTTCCCTTTTTCTATTTTATCATTTGAAGTTTTCATATTTTTCTGTATTGCTGCTGAACTCTTCATCCAAATCCAAATGCAAATATTGTTTGTGATAGTCAACTGGATTTTAACAGAAACACCCAAAATTAGCTTAAGCAGCTGTCATAATAATTGTTGCCTTTTTGCATAAAAAAAACACACTTGGTATGTTTTATGTTTTCTTTTTAAACTTCTGTGTTGATCCATTATTCTAACTTTTTTTTAACCATCATTTTCAAACCATAAGAATCTTATCCTGGTCAGTGTTTAGTCTGTATATGGAAATAAAAATACTAGAAATGGGCGAAGAATAAACCAATTAAAAAAGTTGAGGAAATAACTTGGCCTGTGGTCATTAAATATGGATTAGGACTGAAAGGGCAAGATTCTGGATCAAGCAGCTGAAAGGAGCCTTATCTGTAGGGTGGGGAACCTCAGGTGGAATAGAGCTGCTGGAGTTTCACAACTTAAGGAGTCGTTTGAGGTGATCTTGGCGTTGAAAACCAGGTTTTTGCAGTGATTTTCAAGGTAACAATGTCTGATTATAAAACTGTGTCTCATTTATCATTTTCATTAGGGTTTCTCTGCACGGTTGTACAGGTTTAAATTGAGTCGGCTTGTTGTGTCAAGTTTGTGCATGCATACTATGTTTGTTATGTTTTTATGTAGGAAGAAAAGGTACAATTAGCTCAAGTACACATGGTATGGATCCGAGCACACTGACTATTAAGCATTCATTAGAGAGATGGCCTGGTGAGAGAAACTGGGCCTGTGGCAGCCTGTTTTTGCAAATAGTGATCTTTAGCGCCAACCTGGAAAAGGGATTTTGTGCTCAGGAAGACAAAAAATCTGCAGAGATGGTTGCAGTCCTTTTTCTGACACCACCAGGTACCTCCCTCTGATAATCCTCGAAGACGTGATTGTTTGGTGAAGTTTTCCTTCCTCATTTCCAAGGTTTCAGGCATGTTGATCTCCAGGTGTTTCTGACCCCTTCAGTAGCCAGATTATCAACTTCCCGTTTGTATCAAGACTCTACTGTCAATCAGACCAGTGAAAGTGGTTTCCTCTACAAACCTTTGGAGTCGTACAGGTAGGTTAGCTGAGGTACGGTCATTTGTGTGGAGAACACACCCCTGGTGGGGTGGGACCTGTAGTCAGTTGATGGTGTGTTTCTTGGGAGCTGGGATGATAGTTTTATGCTTTACAGAGAGAAGGAACATCATGCATTTCCAGAAGCTTCAAAAAACATGGTATTTTATTGAAAGCCTTGTATGATTGAAAATGTTAGCTGTTCTGAAGCCATTGGACTTTAAAACCTTGGCATATTTTAATACGGGTTACCAACCCGTTCCTGGTCAGTTGTACAGAGATTTGAGACGAGTATAAAGACGACTCGCCTGTTGAATTCAAGGCGTGTTTGATCATTTTGAAAATATAAAACATAGCCATGCTTCACGCAGTCATATTTGAACCAGCCTCATAAACATTTAATTTGCACATTAAAAGAAAGATATTTGCATAAAGACATGATCTGCTGTCAGCAAAGAGCTCCAGATCCCAACTAGCTGTCCTGCCTGTACCCATACAAGGCAGTGGACCGTCAGGCAGAAGGAGTGTGATGAATCTATCAGGAGCGTAGAATGTCGAGCTTCATCCCAAATCTGTTCTAAGCTTTGAACAGCTGATAAGACTGCAGGGCTGTGCTTGTAATGACAACAGTTAACCTCCATCCTCTGGACCCTCTGTGTGATCTGCAGAGACGATGGCTGAGCTCGCCAAGAATTCCTCAGTGTGGTGAAAGGCTGGGCGATTCGGCTTCAAGGAAAGAATCCCTCAGCTGTTTTCTGTTCTCCTTAAAGTCGGTGCCCAGGAGCAGGTGGAACATGTTAATCAGAAATACTTGCTGGTATAAATGGGGACTTTATGCTCTTAAGGCCTCCTTTTCAGGCATTAGTTGTGCAGCTGTGCAGGGATTTCAGATGATCGTTTATGTCCTTTAATTTGCCTACACTGCCACCTGCTGGATTTGTGAGTTTTTGAGGATGTTCTTTAAACCTTCCTTTGTTTTTTGTTTTGTTTGTTTTTTCTGTGTCCAGAGAGCTGAAATTGAGGAATTACACTCCAGAGGATGAAGAGCTAAAGGAGAGACAGGTACCCAAAGCCAAACCAGCTTCAGGTGAGATATGTAGATTTAGAAAAAAACAAAAACTTTATAATTTAGAAATGATTTAATACTGATCATATTATTTGGTTGCAGTGGAAGATAAAGTAAAGGATCAGTTGGAGGCAGCTAATCCTGAGCCCATAATAGAAGAAGTGGTAAATACTTTTGTTAAGCTCTGTTTTTCTTATTAATTCATTATTAGATGTCCAAGTTTAACTTGTTTTTTTTTTGTCTGTAGGATTTAGCAAACCTTGCTCCAAGAAAACCAGACTGGTAAGGCATGTTTAAAAGTAGTCAATAACAATTGTAGCTTTTAACCTTTTGTCATTTTATGTGCTGGTACCAGGCAAAGATGAGAGTAATTGTAAATTAAATGAAAAAATATAGATCAACCATTTAAGCCCAGCCTCTTGTTTAGTCCCTATGAAGCTCATTTTGCTGCAGTTATACCTGCAATGAGCTGAAAGGCCAAGTTCAGCCATATGAAGAGATTGTATCCATGTCAATTTTCAGCCCTTTTCGCTGATTTTATATGCTTTTAGGATTTATCTTTGTCTGACTCATGCTTATGTATATATTTTGTTCAGAACTGTTTCATGGGAGGTCTGGCTGTGTGTTAAAGGTTGTTTTCTTGCTAGATGATCCTACACCTCATACTTTGATTTTTTGCAGACTTTAACCTTTCCCCCAGTATTTTCCTTTGTAAGGCTCCATCCATCTATTCCTCAAGTCTGAACAGCCACCCATTGTCTGTTCATGAAACGCATCCCTACTGCATAATGCTCCCAGTGTTTAATGTTAGTTTTCCACCATAAATGCCATTTTGCATAAATGCTATTTTGGTCTCTTCTGACTAGAATAAACTTATTATGCAAATAAATGTATACCAAGAGAGATGCGTACCTCAGTTTTCATTTTTTTTTTCCCCATTTATTTCTTTTTATTGTTTCATTGAGATAGGCGTATAATATTTGTTTAGCATAATTACTTTCTGTTTATCTATTACAAAAAATGCCAATAAAATGCATTGACGTTTATGGCCAAGTTCTATTGTGTATAGTCTGATGTGTTTGTATTGGATGTTATGGAACTCAAAAATGTCTTTCATTTTCGTTAATTGTCAGGGATCTGAAACGTGATGTGGCAAAGAAACTGGAAAAGCTGGAAAGACGAACACAGAGAGCCATCGCCGAGCTCATCCGTTAGTATCAACCTCTTTATTATGAGGTTTTCATCAGGATGAAGAGAGAGCCATGTTTGGACAGGGTTGTAAATTAGTAGGCTAATTGCTTTGTGACTCCTGGAGACTATGGTAGCTTGAAGGCCTCTCAGATGACTGATGCTACAGCTGATGGATGAACAACTGCAAAAAACAGATGGATTATTTAAGGGAAACATGAAACTTATAAGAATATTTTGTTATTTTGGAGATAATAGTAAAGCTTTCAGAGAATTGGATGTGATGAAGCAGAATTTACTTGTGTTGTAATGATGTAAAATAATAATTTTTTTGCTTAAAATTCTCTTTTTTTCACATTTAGTTCTGCATCAGTAAAATTCTGCTGCCTGCCAGCAGATTTCATGAATGATGAAACTCAGTCTAGATACTTTATTATGTAAAAATGCTTCAGGAATCAGAAATAAATTAGATGTGTGTGCAATGGATGGAGCAGACTAATTGTGGGGGTTTGATTGTGTCTCTCTGTCCAGGTGATCGCCTGCGAGGCAGTGAGGAGGAGTTGGCCGGGGCGGTGGGAGCTGTAGGAGTGGAAGAGGGAGACTCTGACTAAATTAGTGATGTAACAGAGGGTGTGTGTTGGGGGTAAAATGGGATAGGAATGGCGATTTGCTGTCAGATGTGAGCTGAAGATACTGAAGAGGTTTCATCCTGAAGAGGAGAGGGTTACATTTATATTTTTTGTCAGGCCTTCTTATGAGTCATATTTTGTATATGTGCGTTTTTTTTTTGTTTTGTTTTTTTTTTCAATTTTGGAAGGTGCATTTTCATCTTACCAACAATATTTTATATTAAAATGTAAAATAAAATGAACATTTTTTAAAATTTTGAAGTTTTATGTCAATTTTTTTTATTATTATATAAAACATGGTTTAGAAGCAGAGTTCCTCCTTAAAGTCTAGGATTTATGCTGCTTTCTGGACATGGATTCATTTAAAAAGATTAGAAAATTATATTTCTTACATTTTTTTTTTCTCTCAGTTGCTTCCTTTGCTTGTCGGGTGTCTAAAGTATGCAATGGATTCACTACAACCTGACCTATTTTAAATATATACATTGGAAAGTGTTAATTATCCAACTAAACATCATTATAGTTATTAATTAAATCTGTCTATGTATTCATTCATTATTTTCTCCACCCCTTCCCTTTTCTGTCCCTTTATTCTTCCATTTCCCCATCTAGCCTTCCGTCATTCATCTATCTGTCCTTTCATTCAGCAAATAGACCAGCATAATTGATCTCAACCATTTCCTGTTTGTCCCTTCAGCCATTCCCCCTTTCAGTATTCTGTTCTTACATTTTTAATGCTCCAAATTTAAAGCCTGACTCATGCAGAAATGCCTTTTTATAAAATGATCCCTTTTTATAGATAAAATCATGAATAATTGAATTATGAAGTTTCAGGAATTATTAATGACAGAAGCTCTGGTGTAAAAGGAGCTATACAATAAGATAAGAGTGTTATTTTAAAAACGTTACAGGCACAAATATGATTTTTTTTTTTTCATATAAAGACAAACAACACATTTAAGTTACACATTTATTCAGAAAATTACCTGAAGATTCACTCTATCTGATGACTCCTAAAGGCTCCTGATAGGAACTGCTACATAATGTTTTGCTACGTTAGAATCAAAAACAAAGTTTGATTCTGTACATGAAAGAACTAAAGAGGACTTACAAGAAAAAACTGCAATTTTCACACGTGATCTCAGATGCCAGCTGAACTGAAATGCTGCTCTTTCACAATAAAGTGCATCTTCTATCTACTTAGGCCCACAGCATCTCTGCGGGGAGACGGTAAACAGTTCTAGCGCCCCTCAAAAAGAAAAAAAAACACATTTGCAAAGGCAAATGATCAAGGCAAATCAAAGCATTCAGTCCCTGCTGTTTTGTAAATTCACAAAAACAACATAAATGAATGTTAAAGCAGCTGCAGCTCATAGTTGAGCTTCTACAAAACTACGACCTCGGGACTCATCAGCACGATGCTCACAAACTACAGAGTATTAGCAGAACGGGTGATGAAGGGTACATGAACTAAAGTGCTGGCTTTGTGACTAAATCTAAACAGTGTGATGATCACTGAGGTTGTGATTAATCCCAGAATCTTCAATATCATGGGATTACACAGCGGTTCAAGGAAGCAACAGGTTTTTCATCCCAGACTCGGAGGATGCCTTGGCCTTCAGGGAGGCAGAACAACTATTCCTGACTACATGCAGGTAAACTAATGATAAAGGATTATTAATTAAACATGGTGGACAGGATCACTAGTTGACCTTAAAACGCAAACCTCCATAGAATTAGCCCTTGGTCGAGTTCACTGCTGATCCTGTTGATACTTTACAGTTGACATTGGCCTGTAGGGTAAAGCTGATAGGGACTTGGAAAAGTATTTACACCCTTTAAAGTTTTTAATACTAGCACCACGAACTTTAACATAGTCTATGAGGTCTTTAGGTGATACACAAACCCATAGAAGCAAATAGCTTTAGAAGTGGAGGGGGGGGGGCGGGGGGGATTTTAAAGCTTTAAATCATCTCAAACAGGTGCCAAGCATTTGTATTCAACCAACTTTTATAAAATAAAACCTTGACTGATGATTTCCTTTAGAAGTCTCATAATCAGTAGCCAAATGGTTTAATGTAACTTCTGTATATTACTTAAAAAACTGATGTTCATAAATATTCTCCACTTGAGTGAGACTTAAACTACTATGCAAAGATACATTTTCCAACATTTTTACTCTTTAGATGTGCAAAAGTGGTAAAGGCATACCACAAAGCTTTGCACCGTTAATTTAATGGAAACTGGTTCTTTATAGTGTAGAACTTTATAGAAGGGAAGAAAACTGACCCACATTTCTATCTGTTAAAGAAAATAAAAATTAAAACCATTTTTTCACCAACTTCCACAACAATGCATAAAATTATACTGTCTATTAAAAAAAAAACCCTAATAAAATGCATAATATATTTGGGCTGTAACATGACGACGTTAAGATCTGAAGGGCTGTGAATACTTTTTCTCAAGTACTGTAACGGGAATCTGTGATGCCTTCAAGGATCCTCAATCGCACTGCCCTACACCTGATTCGATTTTCCTGGCTGCTGGTCCCAGCTCCACTTTGCACACCTTCTGAGCAAACTTCAGAGAGCATAGCGTCTCTCCCACATTGCTCTCCAGAGCGGAAACCTTCAGAGGAACAATTCAGCATGATTAGTATCAGCGGGAGAAATTGGCATTCCTTGACTGAACAATTCATCTTACCTGCACCACCATGACAGTCTTGCTGCCTTTACCCAGGGAGTCCTGTAATAAGTACGTGAGACGAGAGTTCCTGAAGGGGATGTGAGTATGCCGACCCCGAAGAGCCTGAATGACGTCCCCGAGCGACAGCAGAGAGCGGTTGATGTTCTGGGCCTCCTTCAGCCTCTCTCCTTCAGCACCAGACTTCCACACTCTCTCAGAGCCAGCCAGGTCCACTAGGTTCATCTTACCTGGGGGAGGGGGGGGATTCATAGAAATCGTGTAACCATAACGTTAAAGGGACCCTTTAAAACCTGCTGACGGTTACACAGAGGAGTAGATTATCCATGACTGACCTGTGGTTTTAGATCCAGAGGCGAGGTCAGTACCCTGGACAGTGACGCACAGCAGAGCGTGGGAACGTGAGCTGTGCTGGTTCATCTGGGTCCCAAAGGTGATCCTATTCCTTCGAGCTGTAGCTAAAATCTTACAACAACAACAACAAAAAAACAACTATTAGCATCAGTAATGGTTCAAAGAATGGTGATTAAAAGCAGTAAGAGAATGGTATCACCTTCTTAATATGATGAAAGTTCCTGACTTCTATAACCCTGAGGCCTGGTACATGCAGCTGTCCGGTTCCATCTGGGTTAATTTTTATGTCCAACTTCTCCCCATCCTTACTCAGCAGATCTCTGTAAAACAAGTGACACTTCAAATCACTTAGAAATAAGATTACTTTGTCCTGAATAGGTAAAACCCAGTAAGGCAAAAAAAAAAGTAAATAAAACCAAACCAAAGACTCCATCTGTACCTCAGCACCTCATTGTAAATCTCCACAGAGCTGACTGTGACTGTGTAAGACCACATGTCCTTTCTCTCATCGATCTCACTAAAGAGATGTTTCAGAGCTCGCTGGTTAATTCCTGGGTTTTCCACAGTGCCCTGGAAAACAAAAAGGACACCAAATTGTGGTATTTGATGGGGATATGATAATATTCAGGGCTGCTCAGTGGAACAGTGAGTAGCACTGCTGCCTTGCAGCAAGAAGGTTCTGGGTTCAAATCCCAGCCCAGGGTCTTTTTGCATGGAGTTTGCATGGTCTCCCTTAGCGTGCCTGGTTTCTCTCCGGGTACTCTGGCTTCCTCCAACAGTTAGGTTAATTGGCTTCTCTAAATTCTACTTAAGTGTGTGTGTGAATGGTTGTTTGTCTCTGTGTTGCCCTGCGACGGACTGGCGACCTGTCCAGGGTGTACCCAGCCTCTTGCCCGTAGACAGCTGGAGATAGACACCAGCACTCCGCTTGGGATAAGTGTGACAAAAAATGGATGGATAATAATAATCAATCAACACCATTCACACCAAAACTTTACATACCCACTTATAGCTCTGCTTATTTTTTTAAACTAACCCCCAAAATAGTCATCCTTTGTGTGCATTTTCTATTGTGTTACAAAAAATAAGATTTATAACAGCCAGAAAACTGGCCCATTTGACATTTCAAATAAGTTCAATTCAATTCAATAATACCTTATTAATCCCAGAGAGAAATTCAGTTTCCTTCTGGGATTAATAAAGTATACATTTCTAGATTTTTTTTAAATTATTTAAATTTAATAATTAAAATTTCTATAGAGAAAACATGTTCTTTTTCTTCGGCAATAATGGAACAAAACTCACTCCACACTATATTTGACCAAGAATTGATCAGACTTCATTTAAACTAGTATAAAAAAATATAAAAAAGTAAATGCTTCAAAAATATATTACAGTGCAGCATTATTCAACTGACAGGTTAAAAGCCTTTTAATTTTCCATCAAACTAAAAATATACTTTTGTCCTCAAAAGGAAACTACTTGTAGCCTATAGTGTTTATCATCAAAACAAGATATGGGAAAAAAATTAATAATAAGGTAAATTAATCTGAGCTGTTGGGTTTCATATTTAGAGAGATTTGGTTTTTTTTCTGAAACAAGAGAATCTGCCCTAACTTACAAAGAAAAATGCTGCTATATTGATAAAAAATATCTGTTTAAAGATATTAGATTGTTGCCAAATAAATATAAAAGTTTAAATCTAATTATCCTGATACACTTTTTCTCAGTTTAATAGTATTTCTCATATATTACTCTGTTATTAAGTTCTTTAATGACTGGTGAGGCAAAAAAAAAAAAAGAAACAGCCAAGGAAAATATTGTATTTAAAGGAGAAAATGTGCTGGTATTACTATGATTATTCAGACAAATAAATGATCTTGGTCTGCATGCAGTGGGAACGGTGCTATAATACAGTAGTAATGTTTACCTCCATGGTGTAGGTTTTTCCAGAGCCTGTCTGCCCATATGCAAATATGCAGACATGGTAGCCATCAATGCAGGACGTCACAAGAGGTTCAATCTCCTGAAAGACCTGTTCAAGCAAGTCAAGAGTGAGGTGGAGCTTCAGGGGTTGCTATGACAACATGTCCTTCAGCCCCTACCTCTTCCTGTGTGGCATGAGGCTGGAAGACCTTGTCCAGCTCAAAGCTGCGACTCTTTCCCTTGCTCATCACAGTGACGGAGGACTCGTTGTTGGGGTCCGTCGTCACAACAACAGACTGACCTTCCTCGTGCTGGTCCTCCTTCAGCACAGGCTTCACCCGGCAGAGCACACGGATGTTGCCTAGAACAGAGAGATGGCTCAGTAAGGGAACTTTTTACCAGATTTACAGCAAAGGTGACCTATTTACACCTTTCAGCTCCACCAGCTGCTCGTGTAACTTCCTGCGCAGGGCCACCTCTTTCCTGTATTTCTCCAGAAGATCCTTGTTGGCTTCAGACATCTCACTGATAGCTGCTGAAATCTACCAAAGACAAATTAGTTTCAAACCTTTAAGAATCCAAAGGTTGTTTTTTTTTAAACCAACATCCAGGATTAAAGATTTAATTTACCTGCTTCTTGGCTTCATTGATCGCTGCACCATAAAAGTCAGAGAAGTTTCGAACCTGACTCCTTAGACTGGCGTAGTCTGTTTTCATGGAGCGCAGGGTTGGAGGGAGAGCTGTAAGACGCTTCTGCAAAGCTGATCGAGGAAATAAACTTTGAAGAAATTATCTCTGAGTGAATGAAACGTCTTGTCAGCAGATTTAGTAATAACTCACTGAAGAATTGGTCCTGAAGGTTCTGGAAGTGTTCAGCAGAGCAGCTGGCAGCAGCCTTCACAGCCTCCTCTTTCCTCTCCTCCAAGTGGCCAATCTCCTTCAGCAGTTCCTCTCGCAGCTTACAAATCTCCCGTTCATACGCTGCAATCTGTAAACGGTTCAATTTTTCAGTCTCTCTGTTTTACAATTACAGTGTTTTAATTTCAGCTCTGCATTATTTCCAGAGGGAATGTGGAAATTTTATTTTGTTTCCTTATTTGTTCACTTACCTTCAATTAGTTCCTAACAAAGTTTTTTAAGAAACCTGCAACATGCAGCGATCCGGTTAACTTTTGACTTTTTTGATAATACAAAAACCCTTTTTTTTTTTTTACTTTAAACTGGATTTTTAAACTGGATTTTATTTAATGATTGCATATTTAGTTGTGGTGATAGATTGGCGACCTGTCCAGGGTGTACCCCTCCTCTTTCTCGTTGACAGCTGGGGATAGGCACCAGCACCTTTTGCGACTCCAGCAGGGATAAGCATGACAGAAAATGGATATGTATGATGAAGTCTTAGCTAACTGTCAAATGATTTGGGATTTAAATTGGGCCTTTGACTAGGCCATTCTGAAATATGAGAAGGCTTTAATCTAAACTGTAGCACTAGCTCTCTCAGGTCTTTCAGAGCCTTCTTTTTTTTTTTTATGTTGCATTAAACCATGCTCCATGTACGCATAGAATATTATTTCAAAAGTTGTCCTTTATTTAAGGGCGTTTATGAAGCGGTTTGTTCACAAATTGTTGCTTATAACCCTCAAACTAAAATAAAAGTGTGTGATTTCTCCTTTAGGTTTGTGCAGTAACTATATAGTGCTCACCTTGTGCTGCAGGTTGCAGCTATATTCATCTGACTTCCTGATCTGTTCCTCCAGCTGTTTGCACCTCTCATTCTGATTGGACAGCTTTTCAGACAGAACCTCATTCTTCTGCCTGGCTTTGGTCAGCTGTTTGACTGTGGCTGGAGATTCCACCTCCACTGTCTGGGTGACATACTGGCAGAGAAGACAGACATCTTTTTAGAATGGTATAAATAAATTAGAGTCCTTCGAGAATCCATCAAATGTCTGTAAGGATGCTTTACCTTTACAACTGGCTCCTTGCCTCTTTCTTTATTAAGCTCCAGCTCCAGCTCTCGCACCCTGTCTTCGCGTTTTCTCAGCTCCTCTCCTCTCCTCCACTCTCTCTGTTCACTTTTTCTCTCCAGATGTGTGAGCTGCTCCGCCCGCTGCTGCAGGGAGAGCTCCAGCTGTTGAACTCTGCCACGAAGGTTCTCATTCTCCTGTCAAGTTAAAACAAACCATGGTGCAGGTGGGTGTTAACAAGGCGCTGATGAGCACTCATGAGTTCTAAGCTGAGCTCAAGGTCCTTACCTTGATGAGCATGTTGCTGGACTGAGATGGGATGGCGGAGAGCTGCTGCAGGAGGCCTTGGGTAATGCTCAGGTTCTGTTTCAGGCTTTCGTTCTCAGCTGACAGACAGAGCACACGCTTCTCTGAGTCTGTGGCCCCCTGAGGAGAAAAAACATAAGATGGAACTCTGACATGACATGAAATAAACAAAAGCTGGCAAAAATGTAAAGCTATATTATTTGGATTATGATTAAACATGTTTATTTGACACCTTGGTAATAAGAAAAAATTATTTCAGTATGTTTAAAAAATTGGATCCAACTTGTCCTAGACATTGTTAGAACTGAAAAAAATAAATAAGATGTTTGATTAAAATAAACTGTATAATGATTTAAGTAAAAGAAGATCGATTCTGAGGTTGGAGCAAATATTATATGAACAAGATTGTAGGTCTTAGTTATGATATCTAAATTATGTTGGAAATCTTACAAATGTCAGTCACATATTGCAGTACTTTACAAAAGTACTCTGATTTTTAAAAATATGTTCTTTATACAATAATAGTTTCTTACATCACATCCTGTCCAGAACTTTGGTGAAATGCATACAAAAAAAATAAATAAATAACAGACCCACTTTTCGTAATTCAAAAGATCTGTTGGCAGAAGTCGATAAATTTTAACAAATAACTTATATACTAAAATAGATAAACATATTTAGGTTTTCAGGATTTTGATGCGTGTATGTTGCTATAATGAAAATTAAGGTGCAAAAAAAAAAAGTGCCTCAAAGGTGTGTCCAGATTAATTAAAAAGTTATTTTTATTTGCAGGGATTCATCTGTGTAAATCATGAAAATAATCTATTGAAAACATGTTAAGTTACAAAGAAAAGGTTTGTTTATGGGAAAACTAATTAAAAAATAATAACTTTAAAAATTTATGACTTTCACTGATGATTTTCTGTTTCTTATTTTGGTGAAATACAAAATAAAAAACCTACAAAAGTAAAGTTTTTCTCTAATAAATTTGAAAAACAATTCGATAAAAGGTAGAAAAAAATTTGCATTGCTTTAACTTTACTTCTTTTTAGTTTCATCTGTTTAATGTTTCTTGATGTGTTTGATACTTATTTCACCTGCCGTATCTGCCACTTTGCTCGCTGTCTGCAAATATATTTAAAACAATGTTAGTCAGATCTAAACAAGGGAAATTCATCTGTGAAAATAAAACCTGTCCTGTGTTTAGTGTCTGACCTTCTTCCACTCTGAATAGTGTTTGTATACTGGAATCAAAGCTGGACTATTCACAGTGCGCTGCTGTGTTGTTAATAATAATGTGTGAAATAAATCTCTCAGTTAAAAGTCATGAGTTTAAAAAGAAGAGCAAAGCTGCATCAAAAGTAAATGTTTGAGTTATTAGTGTTTGATTTTCTATCCATACACCTTCATCAGCATGTGTTCCAGTCGTAAAATATACGTCTTTGAATTTTAGTTTTTCTACTTATATCAATTGTAACCTTATTGCTGTACAAGGTAACCTGGGTGCTGCTTGACATTTAGAGAGCTATTTTTAATCCAATAGGTGGGGCAGATGTGCTGATTGCTTGAAAAGTGACAAACACTTGATGAATGACTCAGCTTGGTCAGCAGGACTCACAGTGGCTGTTCTCAGTCTCGACAGCTCCTCTTCACGCTCCTCTATGCAGCTCTTTAGTTCATCAATCTAAAAAAATATATATATACAGAAAATTTGATTAGATGTAGCAAAAAATTAAAATAATAAAATATATTTTTTCTCAACAAACTTCTTTCAGTGTCAAAATATTTTTCTTATAAGATATTTTTCCTGATTAAATTAGGTAGAAGTATCACTTCTTCAAAAAATAAAATAAATTTTTCAAGATTTGCTTTTGCAATGCATGAATCCATGATAGAAATTCAAGCTTATAATACAGGATTTACATGTTCAATAAAGGTTTTATTGATATGTATTTAAACTAGCCGTGTACCTGGTGCTGAAAGGCCTCTATTCTGGTATGTCTGTCTCTTTCTTTTTGCTCCAGCTGTGAGTGCAGCAGGCGGAGCTCTCCTCTTAGTTTACTCCTCTCACCCTGCAGCCCACAGAGAGACTCCACCAGACTGTGCACACCAGAAGGAGTCGCTACGTCACAGCTGGACTCACCTGGAAAATGACAAAAGAAATGTAGGACAATGAGGACTCCAATCACAGTGAAGTCCTCAGAGGTCTTCACACACCTTTTTAGACAAAAGTGCAAGGGAAGACTAGTTTTTTTGTTACATTAGATACATTTTTCAATGATGGCATAATTGATTAAGGGAGATAACTATCCAAATCAAGTTTGCATTGTGTACAAATAGATTAATGTATTTCTTCCTACATCCTGAATTCTGTGAAAAAAACACTTATTCAACTGAATTGAACTGGTAATATAAAATAGGCTAAAATATCTCAAAATGAAACAGATCAAGGGCTGAAAATATTGGTCTAAAGTGTTACAAATAAGCCTTCTAATGTGTTTGTTCTCCAGTGAACCACGTTAAGAACTGTTATCCATTAATGGAGAAAACATGGAACGGTGGTGAACCTTCCCAGCAGCGCAGGCGTACCAAAGCAAACATATAAATACCTGACTTTGGTTCAGTTAAGGTCAGAGTTTATAATGCAACATGAAACAAAGTTGAGGGAAAACTGCCTCTATGGGTTTCAAGAAGAAAATGGCCACAAAGTAAAGCTAACAACTATGGAGGAAGTTTTAAGAAAAACAAGCGCGTACCAGCAGTTTGACTTTAGGGTTATATTGTGATGGACTAACCACAAAGTCTGCTCTCTACCAGTGAATCTTTAAGGAAAAGACCCAAATCTACCAGTCTACTAAGCTCCACTCGTTAGGCTTACAGTATGCAGCAGGACATTAAACCAAAGTGCATCACTGGGTCTACCTCTGAGTGGTTAGAAAAGAGAAGGTTTTGGATTGAATGGATTAGGTTAATCTGACAGAGAAGCTGCAGCAACACCTGTTTGAAAACCCTGGAATGAGGCTGAATTAAAAACAACTCTACCAAAAATATGTTGATAAATCCCCCCCAAAGGACCCACTGACAGCATTCAGTAACATCTAACAGCAGCATTATGCAAAGACTGGCATCACCACTAATGCGCTAAATAATTAAGTTTAATTATAGATCTAAATGGAGCTGAAGTTTTTTTGTTTACCTGGTGATCCTTTTGTATTAAGATGTGATTGATGAGCTAAAATATTTGTGCCAAAAAGCAAAAACTCTTGTGTTTACTCATTAAAGTATCCTTCTTTTATAAGCATATTTCACAGCATTATGTGAAGCTAAATGTCACGCAGCACACAGGTTGTCGTCATGTATTCATCAGCAGTACCATTAAAATTCATGTTCCTGTGTTCTCTCAATTCAAAAACATAAATAGAATTACTGAAACTCCAAAAACCATCTTGTACCTGACCTGGAGCAGAATGCCAAATAATGTTTTTATCAGTTTTTCTGTCCTCTCAATGATTTACAAAGCTCTGTCACCTACTATTTTCATACCAGGACTTTATGCTCATTTAATTAGCACTGCATGTTAAGTTTGCCCTAGTTTAAAAAAAAAAAATAGAGCATTGGTGAAGGGTGAAAGTTGCAGTCTGCAGAAGGACGCTAAACTGGAACTAGGCAAATTTTTAAAGTGGAAGCCTAAAATGATGTTAAATAAAAATCTAAACTTGATGAATAGAAAATTAATTTAAAAAAAAAAAACAGTGAACTAAAGCATAATGACACTGCACAATGGATGACATCCTGAATATTCATGATGTGCAGTATTGCATAGAGCTGCATTTTGCATTACACCTAAAAACAGGGAGAGAAACAAAGACTAAAGCATTTTAAGCATTGGGAACTCCGGCTATTTTTAGCCCAACACATTTCCACGTGCTGCCCCAGCATGTGCCAGACCCTGTAACTGCATTTGCACCGCTTTAAACAGCCATCAGACATGTTTTATTAACGTCAAGGCAGCCTTAATCCTGTAACCTGAGGGAGTCCTAAGATCCTCTATTTTTACATTTCCTTCAAACTGAGGAGAATTTGATCAGTCAGTGAGCTGCCCATATTTTAATGCACCTGTTAACAAGGTGCACAGCAATTAAGGAAACCGTATGGGTTTTACTGTTTATGGTTTCTGCTGAGGTAAAAGAACTAACCTGAGGTTACATCTAAAACACAGTGGTTGTAGAAAAGCAGAGCTCTGAGGGGCAGAGCGTCTGCCTGGTCTTTGTGGTGACACAGCTACGAAGAAACATCCGGCAAATCTAATAATGTTGCTTTGCTGCTGGTGGATCAGGTGTTCTATAGAAATGTTCCTTGCTCTAAAATAGGGAAGAGGAAATGGAAAGCCTGATATGCAGCTGATCTTTTTAAAACTGTGACATTCTTATTAAAATTAGAATGGAATTATTTTAGTTAGGATATTTTTTAGATTATATTTTGAAGATTTAACATGACAATATGTCACAGCAGTGTATCATTGTCAATTTTTAATTGTTTGGCAATCTAGTTATTAGCTCTTCCTTGTGTGAAATGTACATTTCGCTGAGGAGTTATAAAACGTGGATAAGATACATTAAGATGATCTATCTAACAAAACTATAAGACCTGCTCTACTGAAAATTACTGTAAGGCCTATGATTCCAGTCATCCCAGTGAACTCCACTATGAATCCACCAGCAGTGCAGCTTGTTCCATCACCATTGTTCCAGTTATTAGGGGCAGGAACAAATTTAATCAAGAAAATTCAAATGAGAGTTAAAAGAGTTATACTGGCTAAGTTACGAAGAACATAATCATTATTTATAATTACCACTGCTTGGATCAGCAGCATTCCACATGGATTCTCCGAGTCAAATTCTGGCTTAAGTAAACCTTGAATGCTAATCTGCCAGTGATCACTTTTTTGACCATAGGTTTCATAAACTGGATTGTGTTCTATTCTTATCTTTATTTGAATTGTTTTTAATTCTCCTTGTCCTACCTCCACCTGCCAAAGGACTGTAGATATAAATCAAATTTTATTATCTTATAATAAAAGGCATTAAATGCTGACATTTACGTTCAAGTCCAGCTGATTCATCTGCCTTGGCAGCAACCAAAAAACCCCAAAAAGGATCATTTTATTTATTTATTTCCTTTATTTTTGATGTATTTGGTGAAATCTTGCCATAAAATCCACATTTTATTAACCATCTCTTATTGGTTCGCCAACAACATGAGATCATATATTGATCAAAGCCCAGTACCTTTTGTACGGATCTGTTTTTCATTATGCCTTCACAGTATGGAAGTAATAAGCCACCTTGTTTTCCCATCCCCCATCTTACCCTCACTCATTGGGCTCAGACTCTGCTGCTGACTGATGGCCTCCTCCAGGCTACTTATGATGCTGTTCTTGTCCCTGATGCGCTGGCGGTAGGAGGCCCGCAGAGCCTTCATCTGACGGCGGTGCTGGACGCGGTGCCTCTTCAGCTGAACCCTGTACTGGTCGGCCTGCTGCTGCAGCTGCTGGAAGTGGGAGTACTGCTCCAGAAAGCTTAGCAAGTGGGACATCACTGCCACAAGGGGAGACTCCGCCAGCTGTAGAGATGGACGTACAGCATCAAAGTTTATCATCAGGGAATATTTAATTCATGTCAGCCTGCTGCACCAAGTCTACCTTGGCTGTTGCCTCCATCTGAACTTGGGAGACTCTCCTCTTCTCAGCCTCCTGTTTAAAGGACAAAAATGCCGCCAGTGGTGTGCATACAGGGATATCTGTTCCATCATCCTCATCTTCTTCACTCAGCTCATCACTTTCACTGCTGCTGCCTGGTCAAACACCACAAGAACAACAGAATAAGGAACTGTTTGCATGGATCTAGAAGAGTCTCAATATCCTTGCTTGTTTGAATCATCATGTGCATGTGTGGATCTTGTCCTGCGCATGCATTGATCTTGTGCTGTGCATTTGTTGATACTGAGACTCTTCGAGCTCCATATGTTTCCACCAAACATTTAGAAGGAAATCTTCATGTAGAACATGCAGAGTTTCTCTCTCAGAAACTCACTTGATTCACTTAATCCAGCAAAAGATTTCTCTCCTGTTCTGGGGGCGTGGCCATCTCTTCTCCTTGTTTCCATGGAAACAGGTCCTGGCTCCTATGCACAGCATCATATTCAAGGGTCAAACAATAACAGATTCAAGTGATTTAAAGACACACAAATGTATTTAGAGGGGAAATCTGTATTCCAAACCGAGTCATGAGAAGGACTACATCCAGTAACAATCCGATCTGCTCTGGAAACCTGTGGCAGGGTTGATGATTCTAAACATTTCTGAAAAGAAAAGATTTATGGGTACAAATAATGTGTCCAGACTTACATCTGGGGAAGCTCTAGAGGCCCCCTCTAAGGCATCTTCCTCGTCCTCCTTCCTGAAGACAGTGTAGAAGATGTAGACTAAAAGGGAATAAAAAGCGTACATCTCCACGCTGTGACAGCTCCTGCAAATGACAAATGAATCCAGCGATTTACAGTCATTGGTAAACTGTCCAAATGCATGAAAAATCTAGGTTTTACTCTAACATGCAGGGAAACTGATCAATTAAATATAAAAGGTATTTCCCTTGATGCACCCAAATCTCTCCAGCATTTTTCCAGTTTTCATTCCACTCCATCCAAATGAATTCCTCATCTTTTGTACCTCATCAAACGACGTCTCCCTCCTGATAATAGGGGCCTGTAAATCCAGCCCTTTGTATTCCAGAGTCACGCTCCATCTGTGTCGTCAGTCCCAGCTTCTTTCCTCTGGAGCTGCTTTGGCTTCCCTGCACTGCTTGGCTCCTTCAGTTCTCCTCATCCTTTCTCACTTTGCTCCATCCGTGGAGCATGCTCAGTAAGGCTTCCTGAGGCGCTGCAGTGGTGCAGCTGCAGACAGATTTTTTTTTTTTGTTGAGATTAAGGTGATGGAGCTGATGAGAGTGCTGCTGGCCAGGGTTAGGGGTAGAGAAGATGGTTGGTGGTTGTTTTCTTCTGAATAAATGACTTAGATTAGTAAGTCACTTGAAAAAAAAAATTATTTTAAAGACTGAACACTTAAAGTTGCAAAACAAATTGATAAAATGCATCTTTGAGAATGCATATTAGACAGGCTGGGAGAGCATTCATACCTACTGAATCTTTTCCAACTTCAGTGTGTTTTCTTTGTATCACAGACCAACACGACTTCGAATTGTACGAAAAAAGTACGGTAATAATCCTAGCAGCATGGTATTCATATGAATTTTTCCCCCCTTTATGTCATATATCTAATTGAGAACTCATCAATCCATAATCTGAAAAAGAAAAGTTTATATGTACAACTATAAAACTACTAAAAATACAAATCCCCTAAAAAAAAAAGAAGATGGGCAACAAGGAGCCCCTTCAGTTCAATTCAATCATCTTTATTATCTTTGAAGGGCAACTTTTGTGAAGCCCAGAAAGAAAACAAGCCCATGAAAAAGATGAAACAGTCTGGGGTGACCCAGTGTCATACATACACCTGGCAGAAAGACATATTAAGTTAAAAACTGCGGGGAAAAATATTTTTTTTTTTTAATCTTTCCTGGAGAAACTAAAAAGATCCACAGGCAAAGCTGAAGAATGCTTTTACAGAATATTTGGTTGCTTTACAAATATCATCTTTATGCAAGAGTCACTAACCCTATCATGCATACATTATGAGAAACCCTGTCAGGATTATTTTTTAGGAAGTTTTTTTATACATCCTTAGGAATGTAAAACAGAAGCCATCATGGTCTTACTGACTTTTTTTTTTTCGATTGTAAAGTCTAAGAAATTGGATTTTTCTGTATGGGATAATACAATAGCTTCCACTAGATTTGATTGTATGCATACGTGCCCAAAACTGAAGGCATATTTATAGAAAAAAAAAAAATCACTGTAGTGATCACTGTGCATGAAAGGCTTAATAAAGCCATTATAAAAATAAGAAATAAATCATGATTCTAGTTTTTAAAAGGCCCTATATTGGTACTGGAAACATGTGGAGGAAGTTGCTCCAATCAGATGAAAGCCACAGTTTGGAGTGGTAGAAAACTGACGCGGTACCTCTGAAAACAACGTCCCCATAAAATATGGTGGTGGCAGCATCATGCTGCGATAATACCCTTCTTCAGCAGGGATGATGAATCTAATTTCAGGTCGCTTCTAGAAGAAAATATGATAGAATTTGCAGAAAACTTAGGGCCAAGCAAATGCTAACTTTGAAGTATGACAATGACCCTAAACGTACAAAAACAGCTACCGGTACAATGGAAAATACCTAAAAGTAAGATGTGAGAACATGGAAAGGGAAAAACACATTTGCATGGTGTTGTATAATGATTTATAAATATAGTAATAAGAAAGTAAAAATACTTTTTAAAAAGTAAAAAGAAGAATGGAAACAAAAACTTTAATATTAATAATCTTTAGGACCCATATGGTACTAAATGTTCTTCTAATAATATCTTTATGCATCACATCTTTCAGAGGTTGGATTGCTGCCATGTTGTTTAACATTTACTGCAGTGAACCAGTTGAGACAGCAGCCCTCTCTCCTGAAACCCAGGCAGGGGATCTGCAGCATCATCTGCTACAGTTTGCAGCAAGAGAGATGGGAATGCAACAAACTCTGAGCAGGTGAAAGTTTGAGCAGAGCCAGGAGCTGTGACCACTGCAGATATTTTTAAAAGGGACACTGCTGAGCCTGCAAAATACAAAGATTTCCTAAACTCTGAATGCAAAGGGTCTTTTCATTTACCCCAGTCCATCTAAAACAAGCACTTTAACAAAACAAAACGTCCGATAAGAATCAAGCAAAACAAAATATAGACCTTTTCAAAACAGAAATCACAATTTGAACATGTTAATAAAAACAGAATTACTTTTACTTAATCACATTTTTATTTTTTATTGTTGCACCAAATCAAATTCAGTTTGTGAAAATGTCATAACACTATCTAATTGTGTTTTTATTAAATAACAGCTCAACTGAACTTCAAATAAAGTCAGATTTAGAGTTTGCAAATTTCAGTAAAAATATTTAATGCCAAGGAATATAGACTTATCACCATCTCTCTATTAGGGAAAACAATAAGAACATTGGTTTTACATATTTGGTGCAGCTTCTGATCTCTTAAAGTGGTATTGATTAGTATATTTTAAGACTTTTAAAAAATCTTTCTACTTTTTCTTAAATTATAAATTCCTTATTTCTGTTTATGTGTAAATGTTTTATTTATATGGCACTTAAGGTATAAAAATGTGTCCAAACAGATAAAAAGCAAATCAATTGTACTTGAAATAATAAAACTGAGAATTCAGTTAATAAAGTATATATAAGGAATAAAGTATGTAATTTTAAAACGACACAGTGAAATTCAGAAGTATAAAAACGCCAATGAAAACTAAAAAAAGAAACAAAACACTGCAAATCTTTAAATATTCAGGCAAGGTCTGCAGAGCAGCGATAACCTGTCTTTTATCAGTATTTGCATCTAAGAACATCTGAAACTGGTTCCTTGTGCTCTACATGAAACTCTGAGATGTAAAAGATCCTGTAAATAAATAAGTAGCAGAGTATTAGTTGGGTTCAGCAGATGGCAGCTCACACTGTCTCTGGTTCTGCTGGGGGTTTCTTCCTGTTAAAAGGGAGTTTTTTCTCTCCACTGTCGCTACATGCATGCTTGGTGTGAGGGATTGCCTTTGAGTCAATGAGTTGATGCAATCAACTGGTTTTCATTAGATAGAAAATTTTGAACCAATCTGACTGGATGATCTGTCTGTAAAGTGCCTCGAGGTAATGTGTTGTGAATTGGGTCTATATAAATAAACTGAATTGAATAGAATATTAGGATCAGTTCTTTATCAGACTTTAAACCAGTGGACTGAGTCTGCTCTCTAGTATAACAGTGAGGGATAACTGAATAATGGCATCCCATAGATTACCATACACCCCCCTAATTGGCATCCCTCTGAAAAATGTAAAGGTCTAAAAGCAAGGTAATATATGGATTATAATAGAAGAAAAAAAGCAACAGAAAGAAAAACAAGTTCTTATAAATTCTGCATTGAACGCACCATCATAGCTAAAACAACATTTGTTTTACTATTTTACACATTTATTGTTCAGTCACATCCAACAGAAACTTGTCGAGAGCTGGAACTGAAAGCCAACAGCCTATTGACGACAACACTTTTAAAAGACATTTCACTAGTTCAGTAACAGGTGGAGAAACCAGAGGTGCAAAAGTATATGTGTCTGCCCTCTGTGCCAGAAGTAAGGGCAGGCTGAGGGCCACGCCACCTGCGGCCCCTAAGGCGTTCCCTGCAAACAGGCAGACAGTCAGGCAGCAGGACAGAGAAGACAGACCGAGGCAGCGAGTCAGGATGGTTAGTGTGTCTGCTGAGAGCTGGTCTGAAAGTCCAAGCAGCAAACAGGAGCCACACAGGAGAACACGAGCAGTATTGTGGTCCTGACTGAGCCAGAGGAGGTCAAAGGAGAGCAGAGCTGGGGCCAGAACCTCTGCCGTCCACTCTGCTTCTTTCTGAAGGGATGAGGTGGAGGTCCACAGGAGGCAAAGTGCGGCAGAGAACCCCAACAGGAAGAAACCAACTGAGGGCCCCCTATGGTTCTTCATGGAGAAACAGACAGTTAACATACATTCATGGTAAATACTGTATATATATATATATATATATATATATATATATATATATATATATAGTGTAGTGTATAGTGTATAGTGTAGATACTAGCAGCAACCAGGTATTCAGTTTAGAAAGCAGGCCCCACCTATAAATTAGAATCTGACTTCAAATAACTACTGTAGTTATCATTTTGTAGAGGGGTATTAGCCTAAATGTGTGCGTTTGAAGCCATCCTATGTTTTATTCCTTTTAGTTCATTAAATGATACGCACCTTAAAGAGTTTATAGGAGGAGTACAAAGCTGTTGCACACAAAATAATGTTGGAACCAGATGTGATCCAGTCCGTTTCAGAGGACGCCATTAATCCTGATACAGTTTGAAAACATCCGTTAATCGGCGAAGGCGCAGCAACACAAGCAAGATCAAAGGAAATATAAACTTCTACATCTAACTTCAGATATCAATATGTATCAACATGTTAACAAACAGGGATTCCCTACTTTAAATAAGAGAGGACGTAAAGAGAATCATGAGGGAGGGACAATCGACCGTTTGTTGTTACACGTGACCAGGTATTAGGCTTAGTGCGCATGCGCAGAAAGAATGCGTTTAAAGTAACTGGTAAACGCGAAACTCTAATAGTAATTTGGACTTTTTGGCATAGGAGGGAATGCACACTTGGTAACTATAATAACTCTGTACTTTTAAACATGTATTTGGTACGAAAGGACCCTAAGTGAGCAAAGAAAATATCCCACACCATTACACCACTACCACCAGCCTGAACCGATGATACAAAAAAAAAAGGGTGCAGCCATGTTGTTTAAAAAAATTCTGATCTTGAATGTTGTAAAATGAATTCAAATTCTTCAGAAAAGCCAAAATTTCACAATCTATCACAGAGGAGCCTGTGTGAATTGTGGGCTGTGGCCCTGGTGTGGTAATTTGTTGCAGTGTTGTTCATTCAGCAATGGAATTAAACCTTTTATTGTCTCAGCTTTCACTTAAATGAGGAGTTTTTTCCCCCACAACTGCCATTTGTTGGATATCTTCACTTTTTCAGCCCACTTCTTGCAATATGAAGGGATAAGATATAAGGGTAGGCTTAAAGCTACAGTGTGTAATAATTACAGGGATATACGGTCAGAAATGTAATATATTATACATAACTATGTTATTTATCATCATCTACGAGCTTTCATTTTTGATAAAGCTTATAGTTAGAGATGCTCAGGTTATCCTGAGCTACCTCTATAGTTATGCTGCTATAGGCTTAGACTTCTGGAGGACATAGGGACCCCTATTTCATCATTCTGCTTAATTATATCTCTATTCTCCAACTCTGCAGAATCTATTAGTTCAATCTCTAACGTTATGCTCTCTCTGCTTTTTCTCATAGTAGCTTTGCCTTGTATGTTCCTGTTTGGCTGTGACTCCATCCTGGAGAGAAATATCAGCTGTGCTGCTGTCATCAACACCTTTGTTTATAGATGTTGGAGATCAACCTGTTTTCCAGTGTAGTCCTGTTTCTCTGACTGTGACTGACTGTATAAGCTCTCTTCATCCTCTGACATGGGAGTTGGCTCAGAGCTAGTCTGCCTGGCTGTTTTTTTTCCTGGACGGGGCCGCCTTTTACAGCTGCTTTTTGTATCTCTGCTTCTGTCTCCCAGTCGGCCTCGGCAGATGGCCGCTCACACTGAGCCTGTTTCTGCTGGAGGTTTATTACTGTTAAAAGGGAGTTTTTCCTCTTCACTGTCTCTACCAGCATGCTTAGTGTGAGGGATTGCAAATAAGACAATGAGTCGATGCAATCAGCTGGTTTTCCTTAGATAGAAAACTTTGAATCAGTCTGACTTTATGATCTGGTTGAATTGTCTCTGTAAAGTGTCTTGAGATGGCATGTGTTGTGAATTGGCTCTATATAAATAAACTGAATTGAAATTGAATAACCATGAGTACCACTAACAACAATGTAATAAATGATGAACAAATGTTTTCAATGTGCTATTTGAACTAAACAAGTCTGGGGGGTTATATGCATTGAACTCTGTCTATATGATCATCTGATTGGTTACAGCTGCTAAGTTAATATATAGACAAGGGAAGCATTAAACAGCTGTTAAACAGCAAGATCCAACCTCTGGCCTATAATAAATGTATTCCATCTAGGGGTCCCTTTTTAAAAAGAATTCCAGACCCTTTAAAAGTTTGGCCCTTGAATACAGCTCAGCCATGCTTTATTACACACTCTTAGGTTTTGGTCTAACAGAGATTTATTTTTATTTTATTTTTTTTAAATATGACTAGTAACCTGGCAGTGACATGGAAGGGATTATTTTGCACCCGGTTCGATTTCCTGTCTTCCCTTTCTTGTATTTCTTTTTTTCTTTTTTTTCTTTTTTCCGTTTTTTTTTTCCTGTTTATTTGATACATTTCATTTGTGCATGGTGTGATTGACATGCATTCATCTCATATCTCTGTAGCAACTATTCAGCACTGCATATTTGTTATAATGTGAAATTATCAATAAAAAACATTTCAATAAAAAATAAATTTATTCCATCTAGTTTTCTTTTGCATTGCTGTTTTTAAGAATCCCTAGAAAATTTTTAAAGTTTATTGGAATTTTGCTCAGATTATATGTTCCCAAACGTTTCATGTTCAAGCCTAAAATAACACATTGGATATTTATGATCCTCATTAATACTGAAGAATAAAGCCAAATAGAAACAGACAAATATTCTTGCTGTCCTTTCAGGACCACGGTCAAGGATTCCCATCTATTAAAAGCTAAATACAAAGTTCGATTTTAGGAGTAAAAAAAAATAATAAAGCATTGTTTTTATTTTTACATAAAACAAAAATAAAAAATAGAATATACCGTAGTAGGTAGAACTATAGAGCTACACACTCGTGCACAGTAGGTGGCGGTATAAGTTGTTTGCAATCCGCCTATCTAGCAAAGAGGAAGAAGAAGCAGAAAAAGTCAAAAATCCCACTCATTTCACATTATTGATTTTCACGCGTTATTTAAACATGTTATAAACACATCAGTTGGACGTTATGTTTAAATATGTAAAATGGTAAAAATATATATAATCTTTTTGTGTGTTTGCGTTCTTTGATTCACTTTTAAGGTTCCCTGTTTGGTTCTTGTTCTCCGACGGAACCTGAACGTAGCAAAAGTTCGAAAAATATGGCGGCGGTTTGTTTGACCAGACTAACAGAGCAATGGATACGTGACAGACTTCAGTTAAAACACCCTTTACTCTGTAAGACAATTTCACCTTAATAATGTTCTCTAGGAAACCGAGTAAACGTTTTGTAAGCGATAAAATGTTAAGTTTTTATTGCTTGAAACATTAGCAAGAAATACTTTTTCCCCCAGGCCTTATATTCGGTGAGAAGCTAACCAAAGCTAACATAGCATCATTCATCTGCCTCCTGCATTTATAATGTTAAACAGGTGATGTTCGGACGTTGAGCCTCCCAGGGACACATGAGGAGAAAATCAGACATCTTGGAAACGCTCTGAATAACTTTGTCCGTCTAAAATCTCTGGATTTGTCATACAATGCTATCGTCTCAGTTGAGGTTTGTTCATCCGTAGCTAATGATCGGATTTTTCTCTATGACAACCGCTTTATATCATATTAAGAGCTGTATTATCTTCCTTGCTGGCTATGTCAATATTTGTACTTTTTGGTGAAAGGGAAAAAAAACAACATTTTGCTGTTTTATCTGAGCAGGGGGTGCAACACCTGAAGATGCTGGAGAGGCTGATTCTTTACCATAACTGCATACCATCTCTAGAAAAAGTACAGGTTCTCTTTGAGCTGCCAGTGTTAAGAGAGTTGGACCTCAGGCTTAACCCTCTCACTAAGAATTGCCCAAACTACCGTCCACATCTGGTCTACGCCATGCCCAACCTGCGAAAACTTGGTAATGTGTTAGTCATCCACATTCTGCTTATTTTAGTCTGGGTTTTGTTGCTGAGTTGGGGATTTATTTCCTCCTTCTTCCCTCAGATAATTGTCCAGTCAGAGACACGGAGCGTAAAGCTGGAATCCTTCAGTTCTCCTTTGAACGTCCTTCTCTGCTGCACAGCAGCTTCTCTCTGAATGTGCATCAGGACCTAAGGTGTGCTGAGCACAATCCACTGAAATTATGTCCTAAATGTACACAGAACAAATGCATGTCTCACATCTACTATCTGATATTTGTTAATGATCTCACCCAGTTCCAACATTTGTCTAGTTATTTAATAATAATGAATTGACAGCAGCTCCGCTGTTAATACAGCAATCTCTTCACAGCATTCAGTCTTCCTGTATAAATTCTCATTGCCATCTTTGACCAGTCCTCTTTGCCCAATCTTTTAATCTCCCAAAATGCTCTCCTCTAATCAGATCACTTCTCAGGGGTTCTATAGGATGTAGGTCTGGAGACTCAGATGTGCAGGTGAATTATTTCTGAGGTGATTTGGAGGATGTTATTCCAGCTTAAAGTCTGAGGGATAAAACTCTTGCATTGGAGGTTCTATACAGGTTCCATGGTCCTGGACCCTCTACTGAAGATATAACACCAAGTTATGTTCTCATGATGCAAGCACTGGCACAGAAACTCTTGCTGAGCAGTTGGATACAATTTGTTTAGTACCCTTTTTTTTCATGTTTAGTTCAACAATGATAATAAAAAAGAATAAGAAAGGACCTCAGTTATCAGTCATCTGTTTTTTGGTTCTCTACCCCATAAAAAAAAAAAAAAAAAAAACACTGTTCTCACTTTTTCCTCCTTGGTAAATTTGGTCTTGAACCACCGTGAAAATACATGAAGTATTAATTTAACGGTGGTCAGGTGGATTTGCTGACACCAAGATGGTGACTTTTGCTTCAGAGACATTAAAAACAGATATTTTAGTATATTTTCCACAGTGAATAAATTGACTTTCCTGAATTTACAATTAAGATCTTGATTTTATATATTTATATATATACATATGTGTATATATATATATATTTGATGTTTGTTATTTTCCTGATTTTTAATCACCAGAGTTGCATGTCTGTAGTTTAACTTGCAATAGTGAGAGAAAGTAATCAGCCAGATTTAATTTAGCCTTTATCTTCTCACCTACAGCAACGATGTGTTGAATTATGTTGAAACAACTTCTAGAGACCAAGAGGAAACAGACTCTGTTCAGAAGGAAGTGGAAGGTAACATTTTAAATTTGAGGCAAACTTTTATCTATTTCTTTACAAATGTTTTTAAAGGTCAAATTCACTTCTTTTTGCAGAGCCGACCAGGGATGTTTCAGAAGGCTTTGTGGAGCAGAAGAGTTCAACTCCAAAGCTGGTGATTTCTTTATATATATATTTTTTCTAAGAACAACAAACTATTATTATTTGGGTAAAAAAAAAAAAAAAAAATCTGGAATTTTAACTTTCAATGTGGGTTAAAGGGAATTTATGGCTATAAACATGTTTCAACATAGACTTAAGACATTTAGAGGCTCTCACCAGAGCAGTCTGTTGTTGAAGTTCTGCAGCAGCAGACTACTGGATATGTGCCTAATGTTTTCAGAAAAACACAAAAAGTCTGGTTGAATGAAAGTTTGCCAAAATATGATGTTGCATGGTAGAATGTTTATTCTAATAGATCTTATGGAAGCTTTCCAGGTTTAAATATTCTCAAAAATCCTTGAAAATGTGCCTGTTGATGAAAACTCTTTTTTTCTTTTTTTTTCTTTTTTCTTTTTTTATTGCAGGAGTTGTCCAGGTCTATCCTTCGTTATCCATCCTCTAGAAAACGTAAGTTTCCAAACTCATGCTTTATATTTACAGGGAAAGACTCTTAGTGTTTATACGCCATATCAGATTGCAGTATCTGTAAATATTTGATTTTTATCTCCTGTTATCTCATCTCTTGGAGGAAGAAAGTTATACTTATCCAACAACTATTTGAATGTCTACTTTGTTCTAAGTTTAGTCTAGGTTTCATTTTGCCACTAGGGGGAGACCAAAGCCAGCTGGTTTTATTGTAAATAGAGTACCTTGGTTAACTTATTTCTAATTTCCCAGATATCACTGAGTCTAAAGAGCCACAGATGAACACACTTCCTTTCAATAAAAGCTCTGCATTACCTAAAGGAGAAGAAAGACCCAAAGTGTCCTTTGGCCCTGTATTTAAGAAGCACAAAACTCTTTCTGGAAGAGAAAAGCAAAATAACTTCCCCAACCTAACCAGGCATAAAGCCAAGGGATATTTTACTCCAAATCCTGGTGAGTTTGTATTTTATTTTTTTAACATTTTATATTGGACATACACAGATCAATCCTTGCCATGGTTTATCTTTTGATATGTTAGTTATTGTGTACTTACTATACTTTGTTTAGCTCAAAGTGACCACCCCAGCTCTGCGTTTGGTGACATTCGCCCTCCTAGTCCTCTGAATCCTGGTTTCAGCCTCTCGGACCCCTCTAACCCTATAATACATCCAACGAGGCTGACCTACTCTAGCTTTAACAAAACACCCAGCCCACAGCAGCAAGCTGAAAAGAAAAAAAAGGTTGGCAGTACTTGTCCTCATTTGCACCTTGTATCATGGATTGTTCATTGTTTATTTAAGGTTCCTTCATTTTTCTGTACGTCTCTGCCTTCCCATCTCAGGGTAGTTATCGGAAACCCCTGGAGATGCTCCTCAATTTAGTGGACAAGCACTGGAGGGGGGAGAGATCGCTGCATCATTACAACAGCTTCCTGTGTGAGCTGGCCAAAATATTTTCGGCATCCGATCTCAGGATTCTAAGATGATAAATGAGTTCTCATCTGTTCTATTTCTGGCCGTAGCTCAGGCAGTGCAGATCCTCTCCATGATGGAGAGCGATATTTCCAGTCGGGAGGCCGAGGTCAGGACCTTAAGACAGGATGTGAGCTCTCTTCGATCTCAAGCGCTCGCACGGGAGGATGAACACAAAACTGAAGTCACAAACCTGTCTGCCCAGCTGGAGGAAGCTCGTAGAGAGGCGGTAAATCTCCTCCACTGTGAAAAACCAAACTTCATCGTTTAGAGAGCTCTTTGATGGTGATGGAGTGATGCTTTTTAATACAGGGCAAATTAAACGAGCAGCTGAGGATCGTGTTGGAGGAGAATGTCGCTCTGCAAAAACAGCTCATCAAGCTAGAGCGTCAGTATCTCAAGTCGATGATGAAAAGTTCACCGGTTACTCAGATCAGGGGTGGGTGTAATCAGCACCAGAGATGCACGGAGCGATAACTCAGCTGTCCACCGAACTAACAAAAATACTTTGTTTTCTCATCCTTAGAGGCTCAGACAGAAGTGGAGAAGCTGAGGAAAGAGATTGAGGGCCTGAGGAAAAAGGTGCAAGAGGCAGAGAAAGTCCAAGAACACAGGTACAGAGATCCTAGCCTGGGTCAATGCTAACACTTGTAATGCATGTTCCTCTTCTTGATGTCCTCTGTTCATTTATATACACTTCTGAGGCCTTGACAGAACAGCTGAAATTATACTTGGATAAAAATGTGTGACTTCAGAAGGTAATTGTTACTCTGGATGTATTTATATTTATTACAGAAAACTGAACTAAAGACAAAATAAAACAAAAACCTGAAAAATATGTAGTTTCCTGTTCACTAAGCAATTTTGCACCACACAATACTCTGTTAAGATTAATTGAAGTCAAAAATGGTTAAACTCTGAAGAAGGTGATGAGTGGAGCAATACAATAAATAAATGATTTATGAAATAGATATCTAAATGTGTCATTAATTTATTATCACTGGTAATAGAGTTTATCTACTAAATATTACATGGGCCTCAGTTAAATATATAGATTTTTATCTTAAGAAGTGGATATGATTATTTCATGATTTAATAAATAATTTAATCTTCCTGCATTGAGACGCATCATGAATTCTTGATAAACTGTCACACATCCATCGAAGTCAAAGAGGCATAACTTGGCCCGCCTCCATAGAGAAGATGAGAAAATCCTCCTGGTTTTCTTTTACAACATTTTGAGTCACTTTTACTGAAAAAGTTGTAAATATTGTTCTATAATCTGTCGCCATTTATTTACATTAATCACAATCAGCCTAAGATGGAACAGGTGGTGTGTCAGTAGTGATGATGTCAACCCACTGCACAGGTTCAAGTGTCCTGTTAGGAGATTAGATACAGAATGGTGTCGCTATTGATGGCAATAAGTTTCCTCCATTTGGTACCATGTGCAGCTGCATTACAACAGGTAGCAGCTCAGTGTACTTTGTGTAAATCTCTGTAACCGTAGCGTGGTCTCAGCTACACCAGTGGTTATTAATAAAAAACACCCTCTCTCCTCTCACTACTATCACTTGTCCTGTGGGCTCTGATCGGATCGAAGCCATCCATGTTTATATCCGGGATTCAATCTGTTGACTCCCGTTTACTCCCTGCTAGCTGCAGTTTCTCTGACCGGATTGTTAGAGCTAGTAGCTGATCTTTGGAGATCTTTCTCTCTCCTACTGGACAAACAGTATGAAATGTCAAAGAGAATGATCCACTGATGCTGGTTTATGCACAGCCTCTAGAAGCAGGACATCTTCACATAGATGTGTAACGCATTGGCTGACATGTTTGTCCCATTTCAGAAACTGTAACTACATAGAGACGACCCAATATGACGCCCTGCGATGTCTGCACCTGGACATATGTATCTATTAACTCCTAATTCAAAGCTACAACTTGCTTTTGAATTTGATTTTAGTATGGGATGTTATGTCTTAAGAAAAGCATGTATTTATGAAAGCAATACTTGAGTTTTGCTAATTTAATGCCAAATAAGTTGCACATTGTGCCATTGATCAGAGAACATTAGCTGGCATTAGGCAGTGGGCGGGGCTAATTTTGATTCTGCAGCTCCCACCATTATGGACCACAGCCGGCATTCTCATGAGGGATATTGAGGCTGGAGTTGCTCACCCAAAGTGCTGTAAATGTTGAAGTTTCACCCTTTTTCAGTGCTAATATTGACTTGAGCATAAAAGAAAACCACTGAGAAGTTTCATTGTATTGCTTAGCAAGAAGAAACCAATCAGATGTCAGGGTTTCTAATGGAGCATCCCTAGTCCCGCCTCCTTGACTTTGATAAACGTATAAAAAAATTTTTTTTTTCCACTTGTATTTTTTTTTTTTTTTAAAGGAAAAAAATAATATGAAACAGAAGAATTTACAGAGAACAGGTGGTCAGTGATCATTAATACCGGTATGTGTTCATTTTTTCCATATTTTGCCTGTTGCAGCCTTATTATGAAAGTGAGTTTTTCCATGCTGTGAATTTCTTCTATGATGTTCATTCAGTTTTTGACTGTAGGGGGTTCTTGTTTGGACCTTTTATATATGATGGCCTTCTTTGCTGCTACCAATAGAATTTAAATAAATAAAGATTGTTCTCAATCTCTGGTCCCTTTACATAACTACAATATAATATCAGTATTGTTTTTGGTGTGTTGTTACCTAGTATCTTATCTATTTCTTTGGCAACATCTTCCCAAAATTGGGACAAATTGCAGCACTACCAGAATATATACGTATGACAGTTTAATTTAAAGTGTTTCAGCAAAGGAACAGGAAATAAATTATTTATTCAATCCATAAAATAAATGTTTATTTAACTGAGGCCCATATAATTACTTGTATATTTTTTTAAATAATTGAAGTGTTTATTTCCTCATTAAACAAATAACATATTTCAATAATAATTTCTCAAGTTATTTATTTATTGTATTGTGGTCCTCGTCATTTTTTAATAACTCCATTTTTAGGCGTGTGTATTTATACTCCAGGTCCCTGGTGGCTACAAACGAATGCTTGCTTGCTGAGCTTCCAGCGAGCGCTGAACAATAAAGCCAAAGTGGAACAAAGTCGAGTACAGGCGGATTGAGCATCAAAGCAGAATCGTGCCAAGCTTCATATAAGCACAAGGTCGGTTATTCCTTTGTCCTGTTTTTTTTTTTCCTTCTTCTTTATTTGAAACACACCACTTCCCGGCTTATTCTAAACTGTGTAAAGTCTGCATTTTGATGAGGGGTCTTTTATTCTGTAGGATTATATATGGGCTGTCCTCTTGATATAAACAGTTTAACGAGAACAGCAATTCATTCATGGAACCTTGTATATAAGTAGGTGTCAGGGCTGTTATGATAACAAATGATTTTAGGGTGAAACTACGATGGTTGTGATGCGTTTCCTGGATCCATGGCAAGATTGTGTCTATATTCTCTCTCTTTTTTTTTTTTGTTAGGTCAGCAGTATATCCATCTGCGTTCTACTCTGCCGTGGATTGAATGTATCAGGACTGCAGCTGCACTGTGACTTTATTTATATGTCTGCCTCAGGCCTGGAAAGCTGCTCACACACGCACACTTTCCTCCTGCAAACACTCAAACAGGACTTGGCTGAGCATCTTGGAATCAAGCTGAATGTAGCTCCTGCTTTCATCTGAATTTTACAGGTCACTGGGCGGATGGTGCGACCCCACTGCAGAAGCAATCTTGAAAAGGCCATAAAACAGATATCTCTTTTCAGTGTATTTATTTTCAATAATGCACTAAAAATCAAGAACACACTTTAAGAAGCATTGAGAACAAGAGGAAAATAGCACTGCATGCACAGGGGCACAATAATACTTTCAAAGTTATTAGAAAAACAAACCGTCCCTACTTTAAAGGTGCACAGTATTTGGCATCAAAGACAGAAAAATAGTCAAGCTAACACCGAAAGCTGCTAGTTTCGCACTCGATGCATGATTCTTCATCAGCTGAGGCTGCAGGTAGTGTGCTGCACACAATACTGTCATCTTGTAAAAATATTCTACAAAAAAATATTGTATGCAGTTTTCCCTTTTATCTGGTCGAATATGTAAGTAAACATTAAACCCCTGCTTTTTTCAGTCCATTACTGTGCCTTAGATGACAGTAGCTTACATAAAAAGGTAAAGACAACAAGGCTAGCATAAGAGGACAGCTCACTTTCTACAAGTACAAATACAGTCATTGCAGGCAAATACACGATTTGATCATGATGCCACAATACTTATTTACTTTTATCTTATTTTTTAACCAATAAAATACTTAAGTCTGACCAGTAGTCTGTAATCACATCAGGCACAGCAGTTTAGGGAAAATAAAGAAGCAAACTGTCATCAATATGCTTCTGAATCAAATGCATTATACAGAACATGCACAAAGAACAGCAATACAGAAAAACGAAATCCATAAAAGTCAGTGTTTTAAATTAGGTGAATTAGCAGAAACTGTATAGAATATACACACAACCTTAAAGCAATATAATAGAACTACTGTGTACAAATTGGATGAGGAGATAATGTAAGTAAAATGTTGATGGTACAATCTCAGCTTGGCAAGTGGACAAAGATTATTTGCCTTAAATGCTGACTAAATACCAAAGGATCTAAAGATTGGCTGTTAGACACATGATTATGTTTAAAACTACTATTAAAAGAACAGGCCTTTTTGTGCTTTATGTATCATGAAGAAGCAAAGTTGTACCAAAAATATTCCATGCATGGCGACACCACTAATATACTTCCTTGTTTCAGCTGTAGACTAATTATCAAATGTACGGAAGCCCCGAAAGGCCAGATATAAAAATTAGATTGAAGATACTAGATACTTTTAGGGCTGAAAACACAGTTTCCTTCACATCTGTTTAAAGGCATATCAAAGATAAGAAAAAACAAAAAAAAATAGCAGAACCTATTCTGAAATTAAAACGGCAAGCTTTAGTTCATCTTTTTGATGGTTTATTAAGCTAGGGTCCTCTTCACCCAGGCCTGTTTATCTAGTTCCAGTTTTAACCTATATGAATTATTTAAATTTTAGGTATGGGAAAGTCTAGTGAATAGTGAGAATAAAAACAAAAAAATAATGTCTGTCTTTAAAGGAATGGTCCTTTACCTTTTAAAGAGGTGAGAATTGGGGTTCTTTATGTCGAATTCATACGGCAAGGAAAGATGAATACGTTATAACTGTGCATGAACACTGAACAACACAAAAAGTACATACAAATAAGTATGTAAAATTTATTTTAGATGCTTTTTTACTTAGAAATTGGGGTAAAATAGGCAGTTCTTGCATAAACTGCATTCTTGGGGAGTCCATCTTTTTGCTGCCCTTACACTAAGGAATTACATGAGATTCTGGGCTTTTTAAAGTGGTACGGTTTCCACAGAAACGATGTAAAATGTTCTGCGTATTCTGTGCTTCAATCTCCTAGACTACATGCTTAATGCAACTTGTGCTCACCCACCCAAACTAATGCCATCCATATAACCATAATCAAAGGACACCAGTTGTGTCATTATTTGTGATTTTTTTTATTTATATATATATTTTTTTGCCTACATCACTGATTAAATACTCAAATAAAAATTTCAAAGTGAAATTATGCTCCTTTAAATAAAAAAAGACATCCATATTATTACTTTTTCTGGAATAAATTTTTGTTTGTGGGGATGACTGAAAAAGACAATCATTGCTCAATGAGATTTCTTGTTTTTGTAAAGTGTAACATTACATTTTTATTATTTAATCAGATTTAGGGGCTTCTGTACAAATGATTAATAGTTTATGAGAGAAACTTAATTTCCCTAAACACAACAGGTTTCAGGTGGAAAAACCCGCTGAAGATGCATAGCCAACATCAGTTATAACCGTGTCAAATAAAATTGAGCCAGTCTTTAAAATCCGCACCTTTCTTTTACCAAACAACGTAACAGAAAGATTTCTAATTTTAAAAAAAGTGCAACTATTCACCCCCCCCACCCCCATCATATTGTTTTTCTGTTTCTGTTCTTGGTGCGTTGTTTGTTGTGCTTGTTAAATATTCTGGGGCCCTTTCAAAGCAAGGCTCTAGCAGTTCCTCTCATTGGTTCTTGGCAGTAACTCGCTATCAGACAGGAATGTACCAGCTGGTGATGACTTAGTAAAAAATACATGTAAACAGTTTTCCAGTTCTCACACAAAGAGAGGAGTTTAAAAGATTTTTTTAGCATTTCTCTCACACAGACATACACATAAAAATAAAGCTGTAGGGTAATGTATGACCTTGTATTCTGTTGTGCTTTCTAGGAGTACTCTGTAGAAAATCATCTTAGCTCATAATGAAATGTTTTGACTTCACAGGGGTCTACCCTCAGTGGGTTTGTTCACTTTCTTTTCGTACGTCCCTCGATGTTTGTATCCTGATACGTATCCTGAAGTGTCGACTATGTCCACCCGGCCAGCCTTCCCCTTTCCTCGGCCGGTCTCGTCGAAGCGCTCCTTGTGGGACCCTGTGAACTTGGTGGTGTCTGTAAGGCGGCTCACCGTTGGCGAGGCCACGGCTCTCTGTGAAACAATACAGTATTTTAGTCATTGTGAAACAGCTGAATGTTGTGAGTGACTGATCAGAGCTCACCGTGACCCCTGCGATGATCGGCCCTTTCCCCTCAATCAGCTTGAAGACCTCGGCCTCTGCGTCTTCTCCGCTCTTTTCTTTGTATTTCTTCCGAGCCAGCTCTCCTAGCGCCACTTTGAATTCATCAAACGTAATGGTTCGACAGGATTTCTTCCTGAAAAGGAAGAAGCTACTTGTTACCCTTTTCATTCCAATGTAAATATATATATTCTGTATTTTGCCTTAAACCTTAATGTGATTTTTACACTCCTCAAAAGGAAGTGAAGTATCTCAAACAAAGAAATAATGCTGTAATCTGAGTTTATTTATAATCTGAGTTGTGGACTAAACTATTCCACAGCAAAATCTTGACCTCCGTCTGTCTTAGTTGAGATTTCTGAATGTCCAATAGGATCAGGCTGGCTGACCAAAGTGCTTTTCCAGGTTATTCCGTAAAAGTAAAAAAAAAAATCCACTGGACTTGGTTTCCAAGATTTGAAGACGTTTCGCAACTTCTCCAGGAAGCTTTCTCAATTCAAAAATTGAATTTTGAATTGAGAAAGCTTCCTATAAAAAATACCCCTCTAAAAAAAAACATCGAATTTTGTGGTTCTTGCATTAAAATTAAAACTTTTGTAATGTAGCAAGAGTGATTTAATGTTTAATGAGATGATCAGAACAAAGTTTAGCAAACCAGTGATTTTAAAAAAGGAAAATTTTCAACCGTTTACAAACAGAATATGGAGATGTTTGCATTAGTTGGCTGAGACTGTCTCTAACTTCAATCTGCCTTCGGCGCCAAGTACCTGTGAAGGTGTTGAATTCCCATGTAACAAATCACACCTTGGAAATATCACAGCCCATCAATCATTTGTGCTCTTAGAGGGCTTCAGCTGTTAAACTCTCCTTTTGCCCGTTTCACCTCCACAGTTTAAAGCCCTTAGTAACACCAACACAAACATCCATTGCTGTGGAGATAAATCACCCAAACAACAGCCTATAAAGCTTACAGTTTCCCCAGGCAACTCTGCTGCCATAGCAACAAGCTACAGAAAAACAAGAGATGTTTGGGTTTTACTATCAGTTTGACTTTTTCGGTGACTGACAGCGGTTTTTGTTTTGGAGATCTTTTTAGAACATCTGAGACCTGTTTTTAAGTCGTTTGCGGTCAGAAAGGAAGTGGGCACTTGTGTCTTTTCTATAAAATAAAAGAGAAAAGAAATGATCAAATGTTTTAGGCTGAGTATAAAGAGACCCTTGCAATAAAAGGCACAGGCACCAGGGGAGTAAATGTAAAGCAAATAAAGCCCAAGTAACCTGCTGATACTTCATTGTAAATTACTTCTTCCTCATTCACTGTTTATTATTCTGGCCTGAACCACATGCATGTTGTCTCTCATTCAGCCATGCTGTGATTAGCCAGTGCTAATTAAAGTGTATTTGTGGATTTGAGATAAAAAAAAGCTTTGGCACTAGTTCAAAATAAACTTATAATGTATCTTCAGGAATGGAAGCCCTGTTTGCACTGCTTAGATCTGAAAAACTGCTCTAAAGCTGGCTCCTTATTTTATACTGCAGCTCTTCTCATCATGTGGGAGGCTCTGACACTATCCCTCAATATATACAGTGGGCCGAACTGATAATCCTCAACGCTTGAGGTTTTACAGAGTCTGCAAAATATATGTAAAGCAAGGCCTAATGTACACAGAATAGAACAAACCCACTGAGTTGAGAAAGACTAAATTGACATAGAACATGTCTTTAGATCCATATATTTTTGCAGCATGTTATTGCCTCATTCTGGGTATTGGCCAACAGTAGATCAGGGTGTAAACAAGGCTGCACAGTCATGCACAATATTCCTTGTTGGACTTGCCAAGTAAATCATTACCATGCCAACTGTAAGGGTTTAAACGCAGACGGCTCACGGCAGTTTATATATTGTTGCAAGGATCCAATGTAAGAGTCAGGAGAGGAAAAGCTCAAATTTTATACATATGCAAATTAACACAAATGAAATATGTTTCTTTTAACATCACATAATTATTCCTCTAATGCATACAAAAAACAGGATTTAGATTTCATTGCGAGATTATGATGTTTGTACATCTATAAAAATTAATAGTACAGTTAGATTTACTTTTTCATTTCACTACTAGTTCTATGAGATCATAAACATATATGCACCTAAAAAAAAAATATGACATATAGTCTATTATAGACTGCTTAGTGATAAAATTGCACTTCTTGATTTTAGTTCCAGCTAAAAAGTTTTTTTTTACTAAAAATCTACAGTGGGTTTTTCAATAATCTTAATGATTATTGTGATAAAGACCTTAAATCAAAAACTTGTAAAGTAAAGTAAACTAAGTAAAGGAATAAATTGATTACGTATAAAGGGTAATATGAGGTGATAAATTAATGTTCAGAAAATTGATTTCAATCAATTGGATGAGCACCTTTTAGCAATAAAGACAACATTATATGATATTTTATTATTTGCATTTGACTTCTTCTCAGCTTTTATACTGACCTTTAGATGTGAAGAGCGTAAAATGAAAAAGGTTTGGTTAAAAATGAAAAAAATATTGGTTAAAAAAGTGAACTCAGAGAGCAACAGCCAACACCACCACCACTGTCCGAGTTGAATGTCAAAGAAAACAGAAACTTTACCTTTAGGTGTAAACTTCTTTTCCTGAAAATTATTTGTAAATAACACATTTATGTTGCTAAATGATGCACGTTTAGGGTTGGATACAAATAATATAGACAACTGAATCCAACCATTGCATGTTTTTGTTTGCAAACATGCCAATATTAGTCCTGCAGCACAGCTATCCCGACTGGAGATTTAAAAAGCTGCAAGTTAAAAATATTGTGTATAAATGTCTCTCTACTATTTCGAAAATATGTCCCAAAGGTGATTAATAGTTGCTATGATACCAATTCTTTCCCCCATCGTTCATGCAGACTTAAAAAGACTATTCAAAGAAAGAATAATCTGTCTGTGTTAATGATTGAACCAGAGATAAGTCTTCCCACAGCAATCTAAGTCCCTGTAGGGGTTGATAACTGATAAAGTATCAAGGGTAATTAAATTCAACAAGTGTGTTGTTACAAAACAACAAAGCCTGAAGCAAATCAATATTTAATGTGTGTCTTAAGAAATGCTAAAACGTCAAATATATATACAGTTGATTAAAACATAACAAAATTAGTGAGGGATTCCTGCACACTTTTTTTTGTCTTTCCTCTGCAGCAGAAATACATAAAAATGAATGGCTTTGAGCCATGCATGACAGTGTTAGTCTGCCATGCAGAATAATCCTTTCATTTAAAAGAACTAGGTTAAAAAATCCAAACAGCTCCACATGAATAAACGTGAATAAAATCATCTTTTCTTTCTTTCATTTTATATTTCATTTATAAAGGCTCTGACAATATTTGCCCACATATTATCTGCACTAATACATTTAAATATATGAATCCTGTTTTATGGATTTACTAAAATAAGTCATTAAACTGGTGTTTTATCCATACACCGATGTTAAGGTTTTAGGTTCTAGGTCTGCTCTGTGCACTTGGTAAACACGGCTGACCAGATGAAAACCTTTTCTCCTTGGCTGTCAAACAATATTGAGGTTACAGTCATTACTGTATTCGGTCTGCATGAGTAAAATTAAGCATTGAAGCATGAATCAGCACAACCTGAGGAAATACAAGATGAAGCATATGTGGCCTCTAGCTTTAGCTGCTGTTTCTAATGGGCAGCTTTATGTGAATCAAATGAAGACAAGCAAATCATATAGCTAATCATATAATGAAGGTTGTATGTTTTCTTGGGCTACAATAAGCTAAACAAGATTTCTACAGCACAGTGATCTAAAGCAATACTTTCTTCTAATGCCTTTTTTTGCATAATAATTTTGGGCATTTGGACCCAAAAATCTACTGGAGATCTCTGTGATCTGACCAAGATATTGCTATGACATGCAGATGTATTTAAAAGCACAAATCTCAGTGGAATTTCCTGCTGAAATAATGTGATATTGGTAATATTTTGACAGAATCTGAGCTGTACTCACTTGACTTTGGTGAAAACTATGTCCACATCGGTGAGGGTCACGTTTTTCCCATCAATCACACCACAGTCCTTACAGAGTTTGGACCAGTTCTTGCCGTGCATCTCTTTGCCCGTAGCACGGGTGTCACCGTGGATGGCGAAGCGCCGAAACGACTCTTCCAAAGCAGTGATTTCCACCGGCGTGGACGAGCCCATACCTCCGTCACTAGTCCCATTAGACTCAGTCGAAAGCCTTTTGGACGTCCGGTCCCTAGAATGGTCACTGTGTGGCCGTAAAGCAACTGAGCTCATGTTCGGGTGCTTGGCTGTTTGGACTTTAAACTCCTCTATGTTGTCTCTGTAGGAGGAAAATGTATATTTGGGCATACTTGTTATGAGAATACAAAAATAAGCATTTAACAGAATATATGGGATTGGAGAAAACAGATTCTCCATTAAGTCCAACCATACAATTCATTATTATATAAATCAATGCTGTCAAATGTAAAATAATAGAGATGGATGGAAATGAAACCCAACACCTGAAAACCTGACAGGAAGGGAGGGTTTTCAGCTGTTCTAGATATGATCTAATGACAAGTTGAAACATTTCTGCAGAAAATAAAAGAAGTCAATCATGCTGTGAGGTCAAGTCACAACCTGCTTTTGGTTTCCCCATTTTCTGAAGAATTTACTGTTTTTAGATGTGCTGCAAGGCTGTTGAAGTACCAAGATGAAACCCATTAACGGATTTCTGTTTAACTTAAGGATGAAAAAAGCGAAACACAAAAGATGTAGCCATGTAATAAATATTACATTGATTTAAAATAGATGAAAAACTTACTTCTGGTTTGCCATGGTTGAGCAGGAATTTAATTCCTTCTGTGAAGCTCTTGTAGCTGATTTTTTCTTTTTGCTGTAAAAAGAAAATAAAAGGAAGGTGTTCATTTACAGCGGCATATAAGTTAAAACAGAAAGAAGAATAGAAAAAAAAATCTATATTCTTTCAATATCCATGCAAAAAGCTCTGATGCATTTCTTTACATAAATTATGTAAATAATGTACTGTTTGGTTTCCTTTCAAGGGTATTTTAAGTGTGGCCACAGTGTGCATGGTCAGTTTATAAGGAGTAATGCCTACTTCTGTACAGCTCTCAAAACTGTTTAGGCTGCACACATTATTTAGCAGGTTAGCATATTTGGGTTTTCCCAAACAATCTACTGGTTTATGTGGATCAAAATGACTTCTCACCGTAAAAGAGAGACGCTGTATTGGTTGCTGCAGTTTTCTGTCTGTCAGTGTCGTGTAATTTGCTCTGTTTCCTCAGACAGCTGTTTGAGAGTCAGAGTTCAGCCCAAACACCAGTCATTAACCTTTATGACGCTCAAAGAGAAGTCATTCGTTTATGAAGCATGAGGACAACTTTTTTTTGTTGATGTTGGTTTTGCTTTCACTGTATTACTTGGAACAGCACTGGAAGATGTAAAAGCTTATCTATCAATATAGATATCGATGCAATGTCAGCATTTGCTGGGCACTTGAGCAAATTGCACCACATGAAAATATCTAGAATTGGCAGGAGTTTATTGAAGATTAAAACTGTAGGCTACTTTTAAACCTTTATGCAATAATTCTAAAGCTATGCACATTCCATGTCATGCATTGTTAAAAAAAATATATTTTTCCTAACTCTGATAACCTGTGTTGGAGCATCATATTGAGGTTACAGTGCTGAAACACAAAGTCTGTCGCTGCAACAGCAGCGACTATAGAGCAATTGGTGAGTGTTTTAAGTGCTACACAGTCATAGAGATGAATACTGATATAGATTATGTATATCAAATGTAAAATTATTCTTGAACCGTCATAAAGAATCAAACTGGGACACAGTGTTAAAAATAAGCAAAAAGGAAGCCTTATTATCACCTGAAGAACATTTCCAGGATTAAAGGACTAATGTCCAGGCAGAATCTAGAAAAACTCTTTCATTCATTTATCTTTAGTAGAATTGATCTCTGCAAGTCTCTTCAGAAGTTTGCCTATAAAGTCCATTGGACAGCTGCATTGTGCTACTGTTCTCACTCGAACTAAGAAAGACACATCAGCCCTGTTCTGAAGTCCTTCCACTGGCTCCCTGTAGCTCAGAGAAAATCCTTCTGTTAGTCTATAAATCAGGACCTAAATGCATAACTGATTTGTTGTCATTGTATCAACCTCCCAGGTCACTCAGGTCTTCTAGTTCCAGCCCACTATGTACACCAAGAAACAGAACCAAACCTAAAGAAGCAGCATTTAGTTCCATTATGCTCCACTTATCTGGAACAAACACCACGGAGACTGTAAAATTGCTGAAAGTCTGAGTTCTTTAATGTCAAAGTTAAAAACTTATTTGATTAGAACTGCCTTTGACTTTTGAAGTTTAACTGCTAACTGGGGTATTAGTTAAAGGTTGTGGTCCAATTGTTTTACTTTATCATATTTGTTTTATCTTCTGTTTTGTAGTCCAGTTGTTTTATTAGTTTTATAGATGTTTTTGCTTTTATTCTGCTTTAATTCTTCCTTTCTTTTATTATCTTATTCATGTAAAGCACTTTGAATTGTCCATGTACTTAATTGTGCTATACAAATAAAATTGCCTTGCATTGCCTTGCCTAAACTTTAACGATTGGTAATTAATGCTCAGGACTTTTTAGTCCCGATGGTTTCTTATGGACATAAATATGTATTCTACCAAAGCTCAAAGGTTCACACACACCTTTGTAGTTTCCTTTATTTTATTTCCTTTCTAAATTTAAGTCACAAACTGGAGCTGTCAACACTATGACCAAAATATATGGAAACATGTAGAAAAAAAAAACTTTAAAATAACACACAACCTTATTTTATATATTATAATAACTTAAAAAAAGCTCAGTATGTCTATGTACACTTTCTTTACATTTAGTATTTTATTTCTTTGTGCATCAAAAAGTAGAACACAGACCATTTATTAAACACAGACTAAAAGCTTGTGTGATGATGTACCTTTTTAGCATGTAACTAATAAATAAAGGTAAGAGACAGAGAATGGGTTAATCAAAGATAATTTCATTTTCTGTTGGATTCAAAACTTCTAACTCTATCAAGGAACCCATAGAAAATAAAAAGAATATGGGGAATCTGCAATATTGTCTAGAGTTGCTCATAAAAATTTGAAGTTAAAAATCTAAACATGGTAATGCAAAGACGGCAAGTGATGTCAAACAGATACATTTTATGAAACAAGTTAATGGACTTTTTCACAAAAAATCATAGTTTCATCTCATGAACACAAAGTTGCAGAGAAATAGAGCGGATGTGTTAATTCAGTAGCTTCTAAGTTAAAAAAGATTACATAAGGTTAAGCTTGTCCATTCCTAAATCACGGCTTAGCATAATGTTTTGTCATATTTTCCTATGTACGGTTTGCTCTGGACTGAATACCGTCTGTTTTCCTCTGGATGACTTTTTCAGCCTGAACAGGGATATTTTTGTCTTCACCCAACAACCTGATTTGCATCTATAAATAAAAACAGCATCCACTCTCCTTCTACCATCAGCTTTTCTTACTCCTACAAGTTGGGGGGAAAAAACAAAATCCCTTCTGCCTGCAGCAGTCTTAGACCAATATATAATGATGATCTAGTTGCATTTAAAGGCTCTCTGCTCACCTTTCCGCTGTTCCCATACTCAGCTTAGCATCCTTAAAGAAATGAAGGTTTGACCCAAAAGCCACTAAGATTTTTTTTTTCACAATCCAAGAGTAAAAAAAAGGTAATCCAAAAGATAAAAAATACAGAGAAAGAACAACTTTCTGTGGATTTAACTATCTTCCCCCTTAAGTCACCAATAAAGTGCGTTCACTCACCCCCAGTCGTAATGGCAAAAGTGAAGGGCTTTGTCTTCTTCAACCAAGTGGCCCTCAATCTAAGTTCTGACCTCACTAAGGACGGTTGATACTTAAATACCCACAAAGGTTCACATTTGCAACTACAACACACTGACAGTGCATAAAGCTTTTATAAAAAGCCACTCACTACAGGAGAATACAGAAGAGATTATTAATGTGTATGAATAATGGCATTTAGAGCCATGGACACTAGGAACCTATTGTCTATTGCGAGTGGCTGCTCTGTCTGACCCTATGCCCATTTCTGAACACATACACACATGGTGACATCGCAGAGCAACACTATTGATGGCAGGGCCCTCTGTCATATGTCATCGAACACTTGTGCCAAGACAAATGAGACAGAGGCCCCCGAGGCCCTTAATACGTCAGCAATGAAACCCAACATAAAGTAAAATCACAATGAATGAGTACCAAGATGCTGCTGCAAACTGAAGATCAAACTAGAAAGAAGTTTTACCGCATAAGATCCGCTTGGTGGCTTTAATTCATTTTCAAATTCCATTATTTGAAACCTGAACCTTTAATGTGAATCATATTTCTCTAATATTTACTTACTTTTCTGCATGTATATGGAAGCAAAATAGTCTCATTGGAATCAACCTTTTTTTAAACACTGAATTTGTTTAGACATCGAATTTATTACACTGAAATTTAATGTTGTATGTAATTTCTTTACTATTTAAACATCACCTGTCATAAATTCACCTGATATATTTATATCAGGTGAATTCATGACAAGTGATTTTTTGCAGGTGAGTTTTGAAAAATTCAGTGTTGAAAAAAATGCTGATTCCAATGAGACTATTTTACTTCCATACATGCCTCTCTATGATTTTCCCAGAAGAAAAATCATTGGAGAAAGAGAGCCAGTAAAAAAAAAAGGCAGGGTTTAAACAGAAGAATTAGTTAGACCTTACGATGTAACAACCTTCCCCTATGCCCCACAGAGCCAGGGGAATCATCAGTGGTGTTTAGAAACAGTAACTGGCTACCAGTGTGTACATAGCAGGAGAAACCTAAAGCTATAACCACACAGCTGAAGGGTCCAGACCCTCTGGTGTTAAAAACATTTTAGCTTGGGACCCATTAATTATCATTCACCCTGAATATGTTATATTTAACTATAGGGACGATAAAACTAAAGCTAAGGAATAGAGCAATTTGATCCATCACCGGTATCATACTCTGTGAATTTCCAACATGTTACAAAGACTCTTGAGGGGAGTAAAAGATTTGGGAAGAAAAGGTTTGTATTGAGAGGAGTTTGTTAACTAGATGTTTTTAATAGGATGCCCAGACAACACAGATACAATCATTGGTACTGATGTAATCAAAGGGACAGTCAGAATGAAAAATTGTAAAGATAGAAGAATAAACCTGAGAATATTCTTTAAAAATAATCAGTCTGCAAGCATGAAAACATGCCTGAGAGTCAAAACAATGTTTTTTGACATGCATTAAATACCATCTTTATTATAAATCTATCTTTTTTTTTTTTAGCCCTAATTGGAAATTTTAGAAAAATATGTCTGCTATTTTCTCCAATAAATCCATTCATACATGTGTATTAAGGATCATCAGTAGTTTTAAGATATTCAACCAAGCCATAAGAATTGCTGAAACTACAGACTTAAAGCCATGTTCACACTTTAAATTGTGACTTTTCTTTCTTTTTTTCAGACATGGAGAAACTCTTTAGTTTTAGAAGACTTTTTCTGTAGTTCTGAAAGCATCAGGATACTTTACATCAAAAACTAGTCATAAAGAACTTTAATCAAGGACAAAAACGTAATATTGCTCATAATAAAGCTAGTAAAGATCCAGTCTGAATCATTCAAACTGCTCCTAAATAAAATCCAAACAACACAAAGATGGGCGCAGCTCTTTTCAAAATCTGACTTTTAACAACACTTTATTTACAAAATCAAACACCATAATCAATTATTTATGTAAAACAAATGTCAGCTAAAATCACTTAAATAAGGAGCTTGTTTAGTACTCCTTCATCTGACAGTAAATAAAATGTTCAAACACCACAACTGCATAAAATCCTCCATGTTCTTTTCAGTCTAAATCTAAAAGATTTATCTCCTCTCATCTTAAAACATTTTCATAGAACCATGAACATACTTTGATTTGGACTCTGATAGGGCATACAGGGCTTTAGAAGGTCATAAGCTTGATCACATATGGCTCTAAAAGTAAGCACTAAGATTTGAAAATGAACTCATAAATGTACGGGATTAGTGATACATTTCTGCAGTTCAGCCTGACAGAAGATTAGAATACATCAATGTTGCTTGATTTTATATATACCGTACCTCAAGGACAATAATTGAGGTTTTACCCAACGTCATTGTTTATTACTAAAAAAACAATTGTAAAGGTAAGCAACCTGAGATATGGCCTTGCCAAATGAACAACAGGAACATTAAAGGCTCATGGTAACCAGAAACCAGGAGCCACTGGAACACTGGTGTCAGGTCCAAAATAGTACCACCATGGTCTGAGAGGGCATCATTGCATCAATGCTTGATTAACTGCAGCTATATGTATCCACATAGAAAGGAGAAAGGTTTTATGGTCATCTTTTAAGATCCAGCTTTAAGGCCACAGGGATAAGAAAGTATTTTAGGATTCAAGGTCCGGTTTTTCACACCATGGTACCATTTTTTTAACATGGTGGTCGTTGCAATATGCTGAAGGCATGTTTCTGATCCAGTTGCACTGGTGCACAAAACAGTCTGAATTACAACAATGACAGACTCCCATAATATTCTTAAACTTCACCCCAAATTGACAACTAGATGGTTCAAAGTTGGGCTCAACTAGACTGTGATTCCTACCAGAGATGATGTCCCGATCGTATTTCAATATCAGCCAAGATAATAAATCAGTGGTTCTCACATGGCACATGGTTCTCTTACCAACGGTTGTTAACATTCCACACTATGCATACTTTCACTACAATAAGTAGTGAAAGTATGCATGATTCCTGCTGATATTGTATCAATATCAGTATAGGGAAATACTCAAAGCTGCAGTATTGGTATTGTATATGAAATAAAAAGGTTGTATGGGACATCCGTAATTCCTACCTAATATCAAAGTGAATGGAGTTGAGCTAGAATTATATCACGATCGCACTGGTTGCGTATTGTTCACACTTTAACTACATGGCGAATTTTTAAAATCCCTTTATATAGAACTCAACTCAATGTTTCTACTGCATTTGCACTATATTCTTCTGATCACTGCTTCACTTTTAAATGGTGATGTTCATTTCACTGTTGTAAGCTGCTCATTCACTGTTTGCTATAAAAAATTTGTTTTGTGTATAAAAAAATGACAATAAAGTTTGTCTAAGTCAACAAAAAGCATATTATTTTTTCAGTACTTAGCTGAGATGCATTTACCCAAAAATCTCTGTCGCTGTATGTAAATATGTAAACCTGTATATGTTTCAGACCTTTTAGGTCAGAAAAAAATTTAAATCACACTTTTGAACTGATTTCTAGTTTAAAACTAAATCATTAGAGCTGTAGTTGTACCATCATTCCAAGTTGAGTGGTGGAAATTTATTCTAAGCTTCAAATTCATACCAATGGTTAATATTTGCACAAATCTGACCTAAATGGTACGTATGTACCTGTTTCATAGAAATGTGAAAAAACAAAGAGGGCTAAAGATAAAGCTGTTTTAAGGTTTCTTAAAAGCTCATCCGTAGAAAAGAGCAACTTCCTGTGTTTCTTCACAATTGGGTGCATCTCCACTGTCAACAAGCAGTGAGGCCACTGTTCACAGTTCTCACCTTGTGATTGCATGGCTTTCCAACAAACAAAGCAGTCTTTTCACTCCACTCCTCCAATTCATTGTCAATCAGTCCGGCTGCCTGAGTATTCAGCCTCTTTAAACTACTTCATTTGCAATAATTAGGCAAGCCACTATCAACATTTAATCACTTGGAAGCATTTTACAACATATGCATGTTGATCTAACAGTATTTTTCCATGGGGCTGCATCCCTTTCACCGATCTGCAGGGTTTGGGGGTTGCTTGATAACACAATGATCATTTTACAATTGTACCATTTTTTCTGCTCCAATTTGCCACACACAAACGAGCCGCCATTTGGTAAGAGGAAGATCTCCAGAGACAAATCTGCGGCTGGATGACAGCATGCTTACATACACTTGCCTTCTGGCCGTCCACTGCACAGATGAGTGCTTTAACAATAAACTGACCCAATTTGAACTGCATCTATTCATAGCAGCAACTGCCTGCTATAACCAAAAACACTGGACTTGTTCTTTAGAGGTTGTACGAAGCGCACAGAGTGAAACACATAGAAGTAACGAATGGGAAAGACTGTGCTGTTAGTTTGGCAGATGGTGTTTGGCGTGCAAAATGATGTCACTGTTGTCAAAGTGATGCGTATAAGTGTCTGAGTAGAGAGGACAGTGCACAAGTCCATCAGGGTGTCACGGTGAGTGGGCATGCAGAGATCCCATCTGCTTCCTAACCAGACCAGCATCTTTCCCAGACAGATGCTCTGGAATCTGACGTATCAGTCTTCACTGTCAGGAATAAAATAGGTTTAGTTTTAAAGTACCCAGCCAGATATGTCCAGCTTTTCATTTTAGAAGGACAAGAATATAGGGATGGTATAAAATATGTTTGCAAAGGTTACGGTGTCAATATAAAAAGAAGAGCGTTGAAAGTAATTTTGAATTAGTTCAATAGAACGTTTAAGAGTGACTAGATTTGTGAGTAGCTGCGGGGAACATCCCATCATCCCTCCCTTACCTGTTTTGGCACAAAACAACAGTCATTTCTACACATGTCGGTGGTGTATAAGAAGTGGACTGTTTATAAAGTCATGGAGTGAAGACTAAAGGAGCACCAGCCATTACTGTTTTTAAGGTTTT